AACAGGTGTGGAAAGTTTTACTTTTTCGCACGCAACGGCATTTTCACGCTCCAGCAGAGTTCGTTTTTCATTGCAAGCGGCTTCTCAAGGATAATACAAACTACTACACACGATTGCTTATCGGCTTCGGCCAAGGTTCCTAAAATTCATAGGTTGTCTGGTAAGAAGCCTCGTTTTTGGGAATCGCGGCCATATTGTGTTGCACCATTGACGACGTCATCAACTACCTCGTCAGCTGTTTGCGCGAGCCAAAAATATTACTTAATTTTGATCAACATAATAGGCAAAGAAGAAGATGCAAGATGCAAATGTAGTGCAAACACACTACGTCAAGGCGAGAAACGACACGCTGACGACGTCATCACTGGTTCTGGCGTGGTGGGGAGCTTCGGATTTGATCTTCAATGGCCTTATGAGGATAAGCTATCCTATAGTGGCAATGTGTATTATCCTTGGCGGTTTCTAAAAGTTGGCGGTGAGAGTCACCGTAAACGATAACATAAATTTTCCACCGTCATGATGACGGTGCCGCTTTCGACGGCTTAAGTGTGGAAAATATACTTTACGCTTCGTGTTAGGTACAACATTTTTCGTATACCAGCGTGCGGAAAGCGCGTTTTCTTGATTTTGATGTGAGAATGTCATTATTCCCGCACGCTCAGTTGGCTGGCAAGTAAGTGTCACCAACTGACAAATATTGCAAAAAAAGAAATCCCCAACTAACAGCAACCACGAAAAATTTTGAAAAAATGAAAAATAGAATCCAAAATCGAGAAAATAGTATAAAACTCACGTTGTAGAAGGCTATTCTCGCACTCATTCGTTCGTCCACTCGCTCCTTCGTCGCTAGTGTCCAAATTTCGAATTCGTGTGAGAATATGTGGCCTTCTGCAACTTGTATTTTAATATACTATTCTTGCTCAAAGTACCATTTTTCCGCACAGTGTTGAATGTGCGTCTTGAAAAACTTTAATAAAAAGCTCTCCGTTTTAATTTTAAAAGCATTTCGGGCAAAAGGTCTTATGGCCGTTTCCACCAACTAGTTAAGGGAAGCCCTAACGATAAGTATTCCTTAAACTGAGATTTCTTCATGTAAAAATGTCATTTTAGGGAATACTTATCGTTAGGGCTCCCCTAAAATAGTTGGTGGAAACGGCCATTATCCCCCTATTTTGACCCTGCTTAATCCCAAAATGCCGGTTGCCCAAGCGGAATCCGGACCGGAAGTGCGATATCCAAGATGGCGGCCCATATGGGGACGAAACCCAAAATCGGCGCAGTGAAGGCAGTGAAGCCCTCTTTCGAGATAGAAACGCGTCTAAAATCTCTAGTATTTATAATGATTTTTAGCCTCAGGAATTCAAAAATACCTGTTAAAAAGCGTTGGTTAAATTTTTGTCCCGAACATGCAAGATTAGCACCACTTTGGTATAAATTATAGTTGACTATTTCTTTTATCGGTTTTTCAAAAGTTTCCTTCGCAAATTTGTCTTTTTATGCAGTTAGCAACTAGGTACCTATATAGTTATGCTTTTTCAATTTTTTTTTTTTGAAAAGCAACGTAAAAAAAGTGCTCATCAAAGTTTTTTTTTATCTATATAGTAAGTTTCTGCTTTTTTTTATTTCCACTTCATCTTTAAGAAAACTCTATAATGGGCCATTTTGCTCATTTGGAACTTTAAAGAGTGCGGGACAGAGACGAAATTCTGTAACGCATAGAGATCGTTATCGATATCGCTATAGCACTTGCCGACTTCTTCTCTCTTTTCGAAATCAATAGAGAGGGGACGTCAATAGAGATAGCGAAAATATCTCTATTCGTTACAGAATTCCAGCCCGATCGCATTTTTCCGGTTATTTCACAAAAGGGCCTGGACTGAATCCGCACCTGTTACCTACGCCTCTTCAGGGCCTGTCTCGCATATGGTCAAATACCACATTCCTGGCGTAAGGTCCAAGTGGTATTCAACCCCAAGCCAGGACGTTATAGTTACGGAGCGACTATAAGGATTAATTTCTGTAGAAACTGGTAGACGCGTTCTTTAGGGAAGCGTCATTCAAGACAATGCTCATGCACCCTAATCAACACGCCTACAGGAATGTCATATACACTGAAACGGCTCTTCACAGCCTTGTGGCAAAGCTGGAGCGAGTGCCGCATAAAGAGATGGCTCTGGGGGTATTTCTAGACATGGAAGGACCCGAAGGGGTATTTAATAACACCTTCTTCGACTTGATAAAGAATTGTGCAAAAATCTTTGGCATGGAGAACATCATTGTCAAATAGATCTGTGTCATGCTGGCAGCAGTGGCGGCTCGTGGTGTCCAAGAAAGGGTGGGCGAGAAAAATAAAACAGCCGTGGGCGATTTTTTTCAGATTTTCAAGGTCACAAGTATTTTTTAGCCAGGGTGGCGGTGCCCACCTTGCCCATATGGGCGAATCGCCACTGGCTGGAACGCAGAATCATTACAGGCTCGATTGGAAGTGCCAATAAGATCAGCTCAACCGTAGCCAAAGGCACCCCCAACCTTTTGAATACCACTGGATAATTCAAGATTACCTAATACTTTCACCTGACACTCAAACGCGTTACCAGCAACACCACTCCTCCTTCAGAGTAGTGGTGTTGCTGCGTAACGCGTTTCGTGACAGGTAAAACTATTATCCGGTAATCCTGAAACCTCTTGTGGTATTACATTCGATAATCAGTCTTGCACTGGGACGATACCCAACGGTATCAAATTGAGATCCACGCCATACAGGTGTGTGCTCAGGAGAATCTCCAAGGTTAGTCGGCAGTTAGGCAGCACTTCGAGCCCTTTGCTTGCTTAGACAAGGTCAACTCCAGGCTGACGTTTGACAGTATGACAACCCTAGAACTACGCAGTGGATTCAACAAGGTAATCCTTGTTTAGATCCCGGATCACACGGGCATAAAAGGCAACGAGGAGCAGGCGCGTGAATCTAGCAACACTGCCTTTATATTGGACCAGAGCCTGCACTTGGTGTTTCTTCCTGCCTGGCGGACACGAATATCAGGAACTAATCCTTGAATCAGTTCCAAGACGAATGGGTAATAGCCATCTTGGATATCTCACTTCCGGTCGAGATTTCACTTGAGCAACCGGCATTTTCTGATTCAGCGATGTCAAAAGAGGGGGAAAAATCCTTTTGCACAAAAGTAAAATGAAATGCTTCTAAAATTTCGATTTTCGAAAAACATGACTAGACTATCTTACCGTTTCCTGTATCTCAATCGTTGCCGTCGAAAAACGGATGCCCTGTATATATGCCCAAGGGTTTATAACCAATGATGGGAGTTGGTTCAAATATGATTTTATGATATGGTTGTCGTTCATACTTAATTGTTTTATTTTATTACATATTATTTCACATGCTTCGTGTCATAAATCTACCTATACCTACGTCTTTTTCTATATTGGGCCAAAAGATTAGATTATAATCTTTTCTTCAAGGATGCAACATTTTCAGTAATTTATCTATTAGAAGTTTAGTCTCATCAAATTGCTGAATTTTCTCCTGTTGAAGAGCAAACTCCGCTGTGATGTCTTCTTATGAAGAGTTCGAGATGTAGGTAGGAAGTAGGTACAGGTAAATGAACTCGAATTGAACGATTCTTGTAATGCTCTTAACGCAATATAGGTTCCAAAGAGTTATTTGGAAAATATACAGGGTGACTTACGTACCTAGCCCTTGCATTAGGCATTAGGGTGGATTAAATGCTATTTCTACTAGGTAATCCACCTGCAAACTGGATAACTTCCAATGGACGGGCTACGTAAATCACAGTGTACATAGAGGCAATAATACACCAGGTGGCATGTTGTTGTAACGATCCAGAAGAATGAATCAATAATTTACAATGACTTAAAATTCAAAAAGAGAGTTTTCTGAAAATAATAGTTATTTATTTTATTAGTACGGTATATGAGCTTCATTAGAGTAACGAGTGGGGAATATTGCCAAGACGAGGTGGTAGACCGAGTAGTGGTAACCACGCGAGTGCTTTAATAAGCGTTACCGTACGTGTGATATACATTTTATGTACGACCCAAATTTTTTTTTTCCCGCAACCACATACAAAAGTGACAAAATCCGCACTAGCTGGTTCTTTGGAAAGCGCGAAATATCACACACAAACTGTTAATACGCTTGTTAAAAGTACTTTCAGCACACGTGTGGAAAATAGTGTTGACATTATTTGTGATTGATATCACAATTTACTTTCAATACGTGGATTAAAAGTACTTTCAGCACGTGTGTTGAAAATGAAAAAATAAATAAAATAGGAGAACATTGGTGTAAATCGGATTCTGGTCGTAGGAAAAATGGTGTACATCACTTTGTAAGAAAGCGTCACTCGTGTGATTTTCGCATTCGGCTACCGCCTCGCGGCGCGATAAAACACTAAACACTCGTGTGAAATTTGTCACTTTCTACACTGGTAATGTAATATACTATTAATTATTAATGTACCTACCCACCTACCTATTCGAAATGGTTTTAATTTTTTGGTTTATACCTACTGGATTTTCCCGAGGATTTTCCATAAACGTATAGTGTTTGTTCATTTTCGGACCGGGCTGAAACTGTCCGTCCATCATCCGAAGGTGTATTTGAAGTTCTTTTCCTGAGGCTGTTTTTGTTGATCGAGGTGATTTAGATGTTATTTCTTTTTCTTTGGCAACATAATTTACTCTAAGGATCTGTAAAGTATTTTGCTATGATTTCATCAGAACACAATGGTGTATATTTTAGCATTTCTCCTAATTTTTTGTGAAGTTCTTCATCTGATTTTAAACTCGCATCAGGATCTGATCTCTGCTCTAAATGTCGTGAAGCTGTATAGTAATTACAATGTTTTTTGCATATTAAGAAGAAACAAATAGAGCGATTTTTAAAAAAAGAAAATTTTCATTAGAACCACACTCACTACTTTACTCCCATGAGCCCTCTTTATGTCTTCATAAAACAAACGAACATTTATATTTTTTATTTGTAAGAGGCACGTTTAATTATATTACATAAATATTAACACAAAAGCTGTCAAAGCCGGAAAGTACCTATATGAAAAATCCATATACTTAGTTCCTTAATTTCCGATTTAGCAGATTTTTTACCATTTTATCCTCATATCCCTCATATTTAATATAATCTATCACGAAGGTTCTATGCACTCTACATGTAGTGCCACATTTTGGGCTTCCGCATCTGATGCAATTAAAAAAGCAACCAGCACATTGTTCACTTAAGCAGTCGCACAGGTCTATGCCAGTTGAAATGTGAATACCCCTAAAAAATAGTTATTTTTGTGATTCATTCAAAATATTTGAAATTCAAAATATAAGCAAATTTTTTTTTTCAAACGTCAAAAAAACGTCACTTTGTTAACACCTGTCAAGATGTTAGAAATTTTAATTTCTAAAAGTACTTTTTTCTCCAAACATCAAAAAAACGTCACTTTGTTAACCCCTGTCAAGATGTCAGAAATTTAATTTCTATGCTGCTGGGCAAACCCAGCAGGTTAACACCTGTCAAGGTGGTAGAAATTAAATTTCTATGCTGCTTGGCAACCCCAGCGGCAGCAAAAGTACTTTTAGTGCCGCTCGTACTTTTACTGCCACTCAACCATTCACTTGCCTCCGAGCTTACCCCATTAGTTTGGATAAAAAATAGCGTGTTGCATACGGAGTAGAAGCACTTTTTTCTCCAAACGTCAAAAAAACGTCACTTTGTCAACCCCTGTCAAGATGTCAGAAATTTAATTTCTATGCTGCCAGGCAAATTTAGCGAGTTAACACCTGTCAAGGTGGTAGAAGTTCAATTTCTATGATGCTTGGCAACCCCAGCGGCAGCAAAAGTACTTTTAGTGCCGCTCGTACTTTTACTGCCACTCAACCATTCACTTACCCCCGAGCTTACCCCATTAGTTTGGATAAAAAATAGCGTGTTGCATACGGAGTAGAAGCACTTTCTTCTCCAAACGTCAAAAAAACGTCACTTTTTCAACCCCTGTCAAGATGTCAGAAATTTAATTTCTATGCTGCCAGGCAAATTTAGCGAGTTAACACCTGTCAAGGTGGTAGAAGTTCAATTTCTATGATGCTTGGCAACCCCAGCGGCAGCAATAGTATTTTACATTATTAGCCAGGTAAAACAGTTTTTACTGGCGATTGAAGGAAATGACTAGCGAGCCGCCAGGCGAGCATGTCACCTTCAAGAGTCAGTAAAAACTGCTACCTGGCGTATAATGTACAATAATTTATTTGTTACTCATTTGTAAAAGATATAGGGACAAATAAAAAATCAATACATAACAAAAATTTGAAATTTATATGCTTTTCCTTGATTTTTTCTCACAGAAGTTTTGGTAGTTGGTATAACTATGAGAATGATACGTTGTTAAGACGTCGTTTCTAGTTATAAATAGGTTTTTTGACAGATTTCCATTTTGCAATTTTTTTCCAGAAATGAATTTATTACAAGATATTATTAATGAAGCTGCAGTCGTAGCCAACAGTTTATCACCAGAAAAGTCTCCCAGAAGGTACCTACAAGCAATTATTCTTGTGATAAAACCGATTTTTCAAAAATAAATAATTCTACTGACTTGTAAAAAGTTTTTACAGTTTAGCTGTCAATTTTACAAGTCAGTAGAGCCAGTAGCTTGTAAAAATCAATTTTCGCTGGTTATGTTTTGACTTGATAAGTGACGTTTTACAAATGAGTGACAAATAAAAGTACTTTTAGTGCCGCTCGTACTTTTACTGCCGCTCAACCATTCACTTACCCCCGAGCTTACCCCATTAGTTTGGAGAAAAAATAGCGTGTTGCATACGGAGTAGAAGCACTTTTTTGTGCTTCAGCAGTATTGCAAGCCTCACTACGTTCGGCTCGCAAACCTACTGCTTCAGCACAAAAAAGTGAAGCTTCTACTCCTAATACAACAATATACTATTTTCTCCAAACGTCAGAAAAACGTCACTTTGTTAACCCCTGTCAAGATGTCAGAAATTTGATTTCTATGCTGCTAGGCAAATTCAGCGGGTTAACACCTCTGTCGAGGTGGTAGAAATCAAATTTCTATGCTGCTTGGCAACCCCAGCGGCAGCAAAAGTACTTTTAGTGCCGCTGGAGCGGCAGTAGAAGTACTTTTAGTGCCGCTCGTACTTTTACTGCCGCTCAACCATTCACTTGCCTCCGAGCTTACCCCATTCGTTTGGAGAAAAAATAGCGTGTTGCATACGGAGTAGTAGCACTTTTTTGTGCTTCAGCAGTATTGCAAGCCTCACTGCGTTCGGCTCGCAAACCTACCGCTTCAGCACAAAAAAGTAAAGCTTCTACTCCTAATACAACAATATACTATTTTGTGCTTCACCAGTATTGCCAGCCTCACTACGTTCGGCTCGCAAACCTACTGCTTCAGCACAAAAAAGTAAAGCTTCTACTCCTAATACAACAATATACTATAAGTACACGCTGGAGCGGCAGCGAAAGTACTTTAGTGCCGCTCGTACTTTAACTGCCGCTCAACCATCCACTTGCCCCCGAGCTTACCTCATTAGTTTGGAGAAAAAATAGCGTGTTGCATATACGGAGTAGAAGCACTTTTTTATGCTTCGGCAGTATTGCAAGCTTCTACTCCTAATACAACAATATGTAGGTACTATTAACACTGACACGAGACGCACTCTCAAATCCAATTTCAACACTGTGATGAAATGAGATCTCATTTCAACACTGTATTAGAACCGAGATTAGAACACTCTGCATATTTTGACGTTTTTGTAATGAACCAGTTTTGACAACTAAAATCAATGTCAAAAAGATGACATTTCGTAACTGAATTACAAAATAGTTATTTTCCTAACAAGTGCGCAAAGTGTTACTTTTCCGCACGCAAATACAGTTATACGAACGACGCGAAGCGGAGTTCGGATAAGTGTTTGCGTGCGGAAAAGACACTTTGCGCACGTGTTAGGAACAAAATTTTTCCTACGAGCTTCATATCAGGTAGGTAACAACAAAAATTAAAAAAAAAAAACGATAATTTGTTCAATTATTTTTAATTAACTTGAAGCGAACCTGCGCATTTATCAAAAAATTACGTAACAAAAAAAAAATAACAGAAAATCCTCGTCAGAGCTTTTTATCTTAAAGCGTTTAAATTTGATGAGAAAGTTTGTAGATTTTTGCATATAAATAGAGAACAAATCTGACAATGTGTCAAAGTTAATTATATTCGGTTTTCGTATAGATGTTGGCTGATATAGAAACAGAGGAAAAATTTGTCATCATGTGTCAAAGTCGACAGGTTCACATATTGTTGTTGACAATTAGTTTTACTTTTCGGCACTCAGTGCGGATAAGGCCTGTATCCGCACTGAGTGCGGAAAAGTGTAACTTTGAGTACCGAAATGCGTGCGGAAAAGTACTACTTTGCGCACGCTCGTAGGAAAAATAATTATTCTCACTTTTCATCATAAACAGGGCGCTCTATTTTCTTTGGCGGGAAAGGCTTTTGAGTAGCCGAAGCGTGGAAGTTAATATCAGGATTTAAAATGTCCATTGCCTCATCAGATGATGTCTCACAAGTTGCCAGAGCCAAAATGGCTTTGGAGGCCCTCTCAGCTGTTTTTCTAAATAAGAAATAGGATTGGCAGCTTCATTTTTTATAAATATCATCACAAATACCTTCTCCTTGAGTAACCAGTGGATTGGGTCCGTGAGGCTATATATTTTTTTGCTGGTCTCTGACGCGGATGATCTTGTCCATTGGAATGATAATTTTCATCCTCAGAACTGGTAGTACCAGAATTCATTGTGCTTTTTGGTAAGCTGAATCAAATATCAAATAGTTTCTTGGAATCCGCTGGAATCACAAACGACTTACTAGCAATTCAATGCAATGACCAAGAAGGAAATAAGGAGCAACTAGAACGAAGGGAAGGTTACCGGTTGCGGTAAGCAAAGGGTTACCATGGTTATCAAGGAATGAAAATTATACTAACCTTGTGTTCGGTATTTTGTTCAAAGAGTAGAGCGTGCTGAGCGGAGCCGGAATCACGTGAGCAGCGAGCGAACAGAGCAGTTGAACGCTGTATCAGAGTGCCCGAAATTTTATTGAACGAACTTTAATGAGCCAGCACCGAGTACACATTTTAAATCAAGGAACGGACTGTACGGACGCGCCCCAGGGCGTCGAATCCTGGTTCCAAAGCTCTGAAAAGAAAGCACCTATAGCTTTTTCTATTATGACTTCATTTAACTGTTAGGCCGGATTTTCATGCATCCGTTTTCCGACGAAATATGTCCGAAAAATCTTCTATTTTGACATATTTTCATACGATTATGTCAGAATAGAATGTTTTTCGGACATCTTTCGTCGGACAAACGGATGCATGAAAATCCACCCTGGGAGGATTTTCATGCATCCGTTTTTCCGTCGAAATATGTCCGTTTAACATTCTATTTTGACATATTTATATACGATTATGTCAGAATAGAATGTCAAACGGACATATTTCGACGGAAAAACGGATGCATGAAAATCCTCCCTGAAGCCTAGTACTCATAACTGCGAAATTTGAATTTTTTTGACATTGCGTGGACAATTTGACGTTTTATGCGTGTATCAAACGTCAATTTGTCGAAGCAATGTCAAAAAAATGCGAATTTCGCAGTTATGAGTACTAGGCTTAAGCCTTTTACCCGTTCAGTTACTCGGAGCTGCTCAATGTCAAAATCGTGAACGTTCCTTTTAAAAGTGCGTTAAGCACTAGAGTCGCTCATAGTGCATCTCCCTTTCCTCTGATGCACCAAATTTGCGGGGGGTGCAAGAGCGAGACGTTCGGTGTAACTCGATGTATAAAAGGAATACAGTAAATTTGATTATCAGTGATTATAGCCAATTTATGACAGTGCATCCGTGCGTTCGGTATTTTGATCTGAGTTCTCCGAGCTTAAATTCGTTCGTTTATTTAAAAAGTGTGCTCGGAGCAGGCTCATTCGCCCATTCGCGTTCGTAATTTCAGGTACAGATGACTATTGCTATTTGCTCTGGAGGGCAAACATTAATCTATAACCAATAATTACATTATTTTGGCATTTTTTGACAAGTTTCTAACCTAGAAAGCTTCGGATGACAGTATTAGGCAATTCAAACCACGTGACATTCAAGATGGCGTGGTGGCCACACATGGGCCAAAAAACACAAAAAAATATCTAGTTTCTGCCCGAATTAATAGTTTACGTACCTAGTCAACAAATATTTTATTAAATAATGAAAATCGAAGTTGAAACCAAAACTGTATGCAAAATAATTTAAAATACGCATAAAAACATATTCAAAACAAACTTGCTTGGCCGCGACGCCACATTGAATTTTCCTTTTTGACAGATGGATTGAATTTCCTATTTTCCACCCGTTTTTAACCTAAGCTGGGTTCGGCTATTCAGCGCGGAGTTGGAGTGGAGTGAACAGAGCTAATGGAGTCACCTCTAATACGGTAAAAAGCAATACCCAAACCTTAACCCGAACGGCTGGAGTGCGAAAGGAGTCACTTAGAGTGCACGGAGTGAGCAAGCCGAACCCACCTCTAGTAGAAAGCTTTAGGGCGAATAGTCCAGGGCTGCGTTCAAAAACGGCTAAAGCCGAGCCAAATTTGGCATATTGCGTTCAAGTTCGGCTCCAGCGTGCCAAAAACGGTTGGCTTTACACGTTCCAAATCGGCCGCGGTAAAGTAACTTTTGGAGGCTCTTTCAACTGAGTCTAGATATGGTTATACGAATTTTGATTGGATGAGACCAAATTCAATATGGCATAGCGGCCAGCATGTTAGTTTTGAATATGTGTTTTCATGCATATTTCAATTATTTTGTTTGTTTGCAGCTTTGCTTTTGATTATTCAATAAAATATTTGTTAACTAAGTACGTAAACTATTAAGTCGGGCAGAAACTAGATATTTTTTTTGTGTTTTTTGGTCCATGTATGGTCGCCACGCCATCTTGAATGTCACGTGGTTTGGATTGCCTAATTGACAAACAGTATTTGGCGTTCCAGAAAATTCACACCAGATTTGGCATCGCCGGTAGAAGGGGAATAGTAGGTTTTGGCATTAGCATTGCCGTCTTTGAACGCACTCCAGGAGGTGGCGCCAAAAACATGCAAGAGTTTTCGCAAGGCGGATATTTTCTAAATAGGTCGTACTTTAGTGCTAGAATGCTAGTGTACAGTCAGCACTCACAGTTCCGGGACAGCTGGCTCTGGGACGCGGGCAAAGTTGTGATTTTAAGAAGCATCTAAACTGTTTTCTCAAAGCTGAAAATTTATAGAAATTTTGCACATTATCTGTTTGAAGGTCACAGATAACGTATGTAAATCGTCAGACGTCTAGTTAGTTGCAAAAAGGGGGTCAGACGTCCTCAAAGTTTTTATTTTATGGCTTTTTCTTCAAATATATTTGTCAAATACCTGCAAAAATATATTTTGACAGGACACCGAAGAAAATGTCATAAAATAAGAACTTTGAGGACGTCTGACCCCCTTTTTGCAACGAACTAGACGTCTGACGATTTACATACGTTATCTGTGACCTTCAAACAGAAAATCTGCAAAATTTCTATAAATTTTGAGCTTTGAGAAAACAGTTTCGATGCTTCTTAAAATCACAACTTTGCCCGCGTCCCAGAGCCAGCTGTCCCGGAACTGTGAGTGCTGACTGTACACTAGCATTCTAGCACTAAAGTACGACCTATTTTGAAAATATCCGCCTTGCGAAAACTCTTGCATGTTTTTGACGCCAGCTCCCCAACTAGAATTCTTATGAGCGTAAGTTGACATTTCTGGCGTAATCACGTGATAAAATGGTTGGGTTTTATTGGAAAAATATTTGACATGTTTGAGATTTTACCAATCAAATTACACCATATTATCACGTATTACGCCAGAAATGTCAACTTACGCTCATGAGAATTCGCCCTTAAATTTGACAACAAAATGATTGGTTGCCATCCAGCGTGACGTCATACTGAAATGGTCTATATGACAGCTCCCGACATACCGTGTATACGTTTCGAAAAATCGTAAAATAGAATAGCTATTTTGCGATACGAATTTCGACTCGACGACTCGACTCGTAAAATAGAATCCGGAATCCGGCAGCAGGTATTAGAGAGTTCTAGTTCTCGTGCCGTCCAAATTTCAAATACCGTAACGCTATTTGACAAGTATGACAGTTCTTACGGTATTAGCGTTAACGAAGCCCGCTATCTAACGGAACTCAGCGGATGCCTTACCGTAACGCTATGCAATAGAGAGTTCTCGTGCCTGAGACGCTACGCTAATACGGTACCGCTATTAATACGGTATTTTACATGGTGTTTTATAGTTCTCGGACACATATATCACATCTTCCAATCCCCTGTTCACATTTTGACAGCTGAGTTGCGTGATCTAACCCAACTTTTGTCTGCTTGTTTTCTAACTTATTTATTTATTTTGAAGATTCTGAGTTTGATCAATTTTCCCTTGGTGTTTTTTATGGAGGAATTATTAGAAGTTGCTGTTCTTGCTTCTTGCAGAAGGAAATGGAGCGTGGACTAATTTTGACATAGCATAGCGTTACGGTAAGGCATCCGCTAAGTCCCGTTAGATAGCGGGCTCCGCTAACGCTAATACCGTAAGAACTGTCATACTTGTCAAATAGCGTTTTGGTATTTGAAATTTGGACAGCACGAGAACTCTCTAATGTCAAAACTAGTTTACGCTACATTTATGTCTGCAAAAACAGCAACTTCTATTAATTCCTCAATAAAAAACAACAAGGGAACATTAATACACTCAGGAATCTTCAGGATATATAAAACTTAGAAAAGCAAAAAAAAGTTCGGTTAGATCACTCAAATCAGCTGTCAAAATGCAAACAGAATAAAGGATTAGAGGATTTATTTGTCTTCGTGTCCGAGAACTCTAAAATACCATGTGAAATACCGTATTGTTAGCGGTACCGTATTAGCGTAGCGTGTGAGCCACGAGAACTTTCTATTTTGATTTGATTTGATTTGATTTATTAGGGACATAAAGCTACTTGAAATAATTCATCGGTATCGGTATCCGTAACGCAACTAGATACGTTGACAAGCGAAAAGGCTGTTAAAGCGCTCCCTGTTCCGGTAAACGTAAACGCATTTCATAATCTAGACATTTTTGTCTCAAAACTTCGGCGTTTTTATATCTAACCTTAAAATTGTTATTTTTGTTGCGATAGAGTAGCACTAAACACAAGAAACTCAAGAAAGTAAAAACTAAACAAATTAAATCAACCCGGAAGAAAAGGGAGGTTATATTCATTTGAAATTTGACACATGCGTCAGGAATGTCAAGATACGTTACCGATACGGATACCGCGAGAGGGCCGTAACGTTACGTTGTACGTACGGTATCTCGGCCTCCGTATCGCTTCTGCACATGCGCAGTACGATACCGATACGGATACCGAGCAAAAAATACGGAAGCTTTATGTCCCTATTATGAGACAGGTCAATTTGACGCTCGACTGGTGTAAAGATGATGGAACACCGTTTACTCTGTAAAAATTGATGCCGTATTAGGACACGAACACTGCACTAGCACCGTACTAAAATCCCATTCCGAACTCAACTTTAGTGCGCACTCGAAAGTCAAATCGGACAGATCAAGCACGGCGCACTGAAGACAAAACTTTAATTAAATTGAAGTCGCCATTTGGTTCAATTTCAATTTTGTCAGCTAGACCTGCTTAATAGATTCTCCAGGATCAACGTTGCTGGGCTGGGATTACGATAACCTGAAATTAGAATTCTACTAGAATTTCAGCAACCGTCATCATCGCCTGTACTGTACGCGATAAATAGGTCACAGGTGACGTCATGAAAGTAGAATTCTACTTGTCGTGATCCCAGTCCAGGTTGTATTTAGAGTTCGGAACCAGGTCCGGTTGCAGCAGATCTAGCAGATACAAATGAAAACCACACTGCACCGGACTCGCCTGTCAAACCTGTGGCTACGACCCGAACCTCACCAAAATCATAAACGTCAAAAATGATGGCTTCGGGCTTCCTTCTCCGTAGCTGGCAGAAGTTTATTGTGGAAGGATTGCTGAAATAAGATTAAATTTGCCAGATTGTTATTGTATTGTTTATACAAATCAGCGTCTGGAATTGTGTTCATTTATTTTTATAGATATTATCGAATCCGCGACAGTAGTTTAGAAAAATGAGCAGCAGCAGCAGTGGCGATGAAAACGAAGGTCCTCACAAGCGAAAACGTAAAGTACGTCGACTACCGGATAGCCCTAGTAATACTTCAAGCGGAAGCCCTATTATTGGGGCCTCGACTTCCAGAACTAGACGAAACTTGCCTGCACGCCAATTCACCAAATCAGATTCGGACAGTTCAGATTCTGATGTGTTTGTTAGACGGAAAAAAATTCCAGTATGTATACCTATTGATTAATTTGTACGTTTTCAAGAATATTTGAATTGAACTTCTTACATCGTCTATTTCTACTTATCCAAACAGGAACAAAGGGTCAGAAAGCCGTTTTGATCAGTTTAAAAATTGTGCCTAATTATCTCCTTAATTATTATTTTGGTTAACATTTGGATATAGCCCCATCATTAGAAATCCTCAATTTTTTGCTAGAATAAACACGTTAGGTATGATAATTCGATAGTGAATTCAAAAATAAAGTGGCGGAAATAGTTACTTTCCTGATAAGGGCGGAAAATACCATTTTTCCCCAAGTGTTAGAAAAACCATTTTGTCGATTTTGATGTGAGAATGTCATTATTCCCATCCCGCAAGCAAAATCATTGAAGAATGAAGCTCATTCTTTAACAATTTTTAGTGACATTTAGTTCTCAGTATACCTATTGGTAGATACCTTCAAAATTGTCAAACCTTTTAAAATAATTTAATCCACCAGTCAGTTGGTTGGTAAATAAGTGTCACCAACTGACATATTTTTCAAAAAAAAAAAAATCCGAACTAACAGCTACCACAAAAAAATTTTAAAAAATGAAAAATAAAATCCAAAATCGAGAAAATAGTATAAAACTCACGTTGCAAAAGGCTATTCTCGCACTCATTCGTTCGTCCACTCGCTCCTTCGTCGCTCGTGTCCAAATTTCGAATTTGTGCGGGAATATGTGGCATTCTGCAACTTGTATTTTAATATACTATTTCCTATGAACATGCGGAAATGCACTTTCCGCACGCTCATAGGAAAATAAGTTTTTTGCATAATTTTCCCGAATTTGTTTTTTTATTGAAATGGAGCTTTGCTCTATATGCAATAATTATTAGAAATGGAATAAAATTGGATTTCGTCTCATCATATAAAAATCCTCAATTTTATTGCTAAATTAAACACATGATGGTAATTGGACTAGAAATTTAAACAAAAATTATTATTTTCTTCTAGTTAATTTACTTACATAATTACTTACGTCTTACATCAACCTTTTTTTTTAAATTTCTCACTCCATTTGTCATTTTTTACTTTTGTCTAAATTTTATTGTTTTTTCATTGCTCTTGAATTTTCTTTATTGATTTTAAATCCAATCCCTCAAACACATTCTTCAAAAAAAAGAAAGGACCCTGCCCAAAGTATACGGAAATTGTGTTTATGTCAGAATTGGCTGAATTTTTCATATAATGTAGATCATGCCTTTCTGATTAAAAGTTACCATTGCAAGAATCCTGAAAAATGACTCCATGTAGCACATCACTGCGCCACAAGCTTACCTATTCGTGCTACATTGAACATCCATGACAATGTCCAAGCGTTTTACCTGATACCTATGAAATTAATTTTCTCAAAAAGGAGTAATTTTTCAGGATTGGTGCAATGGTAACTTTTAATCAGGAAGGCATGATCTACATTATACACAAAATTCAGCCAATTCTGACATAAACACAATTTCCGTATACTTTGGGCAGGGTCCTTTGATTGTTCCAAATACCAGATTCCAAAATGACATTGACTCACATTTTTTGTCATACAACTTTGTCACCTATGTAGGTAATTTCAATTTGAGCACATAATTTAAGTATGCTCAAATTAAAGCAAATTTAATTCTCTATAAATCTCTAGTTAATAGTTTCAATAGTTTTGTGGCTACGAAGTCTTGATTTTGATCAAGGTATAAGCAAACTAAAGAAATTTGTATATTTTTTTTTTCTCCAAAAATTTCAATCTTCTCTATCAACTTGCAAAATTTCAATCCAATTCCGAGGGTATAACCACTCTCTAGAATCTTGTCACAAAATCGCCTGCAGTTCAAGAAATTCTGCCTCAGTCGCTCCACAATCCATAAAAACTCTCGCTACAATGGTTTTTTCAGAATATGTGTATGACATTTGTTTACATTCTTTTGTATTGAAATGCAAGAGATTTTTCTTTGACCAATTAGGTATATCGGGTCTTCAAAAAAAAAAAAAAAACAATCAAAGATTGCTTTGATTACGAAAACGTATTTCGCATTGTTGTTTCTTTATTGGTTCAGATTTTTGACATGACATTTTGACATTAAAGTTCATTGACAAAATTTAAAAAAATATTGCTATTATCCATTCACAATCCGATGTCCACAGGTACATGTAAAATTTATCACCTTTCAATGCTATTTGATAGGGAAAGGTGATAAAAGTACCTGTACCTGTGGACATCGGATTGTGAATAGGATATAAGACATAGGTTTAAAACACCATAGCAATCTCTGATTGTTTTTTTTTTGAAGACCCGATATATTATATATATTTTCATATCATCAGCAAACAAAAGAATTTTACAAGATTTTACAGTACTTGTGATATCATTTATAAATAAGAGAAATATGAGAGGCCCCAAGGTGGAACCTTGTAGGAGTCCTGAAGTGGCTGTGTGAGTGGTTGATTGGAAATTTTTTACAGAAACAAATTGGTTACTATTTATTAGAGAGATATGATCTGATCAGCTGACAAAGATCTGATGAATCCAAATTGGAGTTCTGACAGTTTAGGTACTACATGATTTATTATTGGTATTGCTATAGTATGGATTCGAAAACTATACTAACACTTGACAGAATAGCAATTGGTCTATAATTTGCAATGTTATTTTTAGGATCTGTTTTGTAAATCAGTGATATACAGGCTATTCTGAATTTCTTAGGAAACTTCTTGCACTTGGCCAAGTTAAAGATTTTAGCTAAGGGTTTGGAAAGTACATCTTTGCACCCTTTCAGTAGGTATCTTGTTATTTTGTCAGGACTAAGTAACTGATTTTTTATTTTTTAATTTAGATATAGCTTCCTCAACTATTTGTACAGTTATAGTAGGAAGAGTGAGAAGAGATTCAAAATTTAGGGTATTGGTAACTTAGGTCCTTGTTGCATTTTGGGGAGGTTGATAGACAGATTCAAAATGTTGAGCGAAAGCATTAGCTATGTATATATCTCATTTTCCCGAATCATTTCACAAGGAAAGTTATTTGAAGTTTTCTTCTTTGATTTTATGAAACTGTTGCAAATTTAGCTCAACATCTTGAATGTATCATCTGTACCTTGATATCTTTTTTGATTTTCGTTCTTAAGAACTTAAAATTGGTCAAGTACTGAGGCAATTTTGTTTTTTTTTTTGTATAATCTATGATTACGTTTTTTAGCTCGAATGTTCAATATGATTTCAGCAGTAAACCATGGAGAGTACTTTTTTTTTGTTTACATTTTTAGGAACAAATGTGTCAATGGTAGTATACAAATGTTCATAAAATATGTCAACCACTTGATCCATTTCAGTAACATTTTCTAAGCAATTCGAGTCAATTTCGCGAAGAGTTGAATATAAATGAATATAAGTTTGCTTTTTTGAAATTGTAGTAAGAGTTTGCATTTTGAGAGCATGTTTTAAAGCTATTGTTTACACTCAGTGTTATTTCAAGAGTTGGGTAAAAGGGATCCTCTTAATGTGGAGTCCTTTGTCCCAAAAGTGCTTCCTTGTAGCTGTTTTCCTTGAAATATCAAGAAAATGTGTCCTCCCTCAATGTTGTTTTTTTTTGGAAATTTGATTGTTTCAGAATGACACACATTTTGCCTCACAATTTTGGTAATTTCAATTTGATCACATAATTATGTTCTATAAGCTGGAATCCTTACTACTCAACTTACATTGATAAATTGGACAGTGTACAAAGAAAGTTTTTGAGATATATTGCCTACAAGTTACACCTAAATGTCAAAAATGTCAACTATGGCAATCTTGAACAACCTCTATCCATTCAGTATTAAAAGACGTAGAGATAATATCGACATTACATATTACTTGTTTTTAATGGGTTAGCAAGCACTGAATTGTCCTGAACTGGTTTCTAAACTTCAGAGTCTTTTGACTTTAATTTTTATCACAGTGAGTATGCAGAAAGGAATGTTTTTTTTCTTCTAAATCTCAATCTTTTCTTTGTAAACTTGCAAAATTGCAAGATACAAAGTCCCTAAATGTAATTTTTTGATAATTTGATTTTTCTCAAAATGACATTGCAAACATTTTGTCTCACCTCATTGGTAATCTCAATTCGAGCTCAACTTAGTTATTATTTATTTATTTATTAATAGATATAGAGTAGAGATAATAGATTATCCATTATCTCTACTCTATCTCAAACACTAAGGACATTATCTATAAAGAGATTAATAGATATGGCTCAATTTCACTAATCATTATTTGGTAATTCTCATTTGTTCCCTCTTCATGTTCAAAATATTTTAACAATAATTTTTTGTTTCTTCTTCCTATGCAGAAAGTGGACTTTTCGAGCGACTCATCCTCATCTACATTTTATCGAAGAAAACCGAACGGCCCCTTTAGGTTTTTTTCCTCAGATGAAAGTGAGGATTCTGATAGGCCAATAGGAGTTAAAAAACCGGACAGGTTAGTAATTACTTCAGACCTTGAAGATAGCCAATGGGAGACGGAATCAAATTCTGACGATGTAAGTAGAACAATTATTATAATAAAAATTCCAAAAATATAGATTAAATCCTTTTGTTTTGAAGGAGATTCAAGGTTCTTGTAAAGCAAATGCTTCAGTATTAGCAGAAGGTGCAGCAATAGATTCGGATTGTAGTGATGGACAATCGGAAAAATGTCCCATTTGTCTTGTCAGATTTAAATTACAGAAGGTAGGTAGTAATAAATGCGAGAATTAATTTTATGGATTCAAATTTTTGATATAGGTAGACAAGAAATAGCATTATGTGATAGTGAAATCGATGAATTTGATTTTGATTTGAAATAGACTCGTACAGCATATTTTTTTATTACATATTCTAAAAGAGCGTGTTGAGTTTAGCAGTTATGCAAAATTTCATAAGTTTCTGACCCCCTGTCCATATTTAAATAAATTATCAAAATACTCCAAATTTGAAACATGTGGTGACGTCACTGCATCTCTCACGTTGGTCCTTGTGGTTCTGGTACGCCAGTCACTTTGACAATACGGGCATTGTTTTGACAAGTTTTGGTTATGTTTTGGTTTGGCATCGTTTAGACAAGTTTCAGTGTGGCATTTTATGTATCTGGTAGAATTGGATGTTTTTCTTTCGAATTACATTTTGTATATTGGAATAATTCTCTGAGTTTCAATATTTTATCAGCACAATTATGGAAGTAGCGTGCAAAACGAAAAGTTATAAATATTGCATAGTTCCGCAAACTGTGTGCCAAACTGTCAGTAGAAAATCAGTTGACATTGCCACAAAACCGTGTGTGATGGCCTTTAGCCTGTCTCGATTCGAGAGATGCTATGACGTCACAGCAATGAATTTCCAAGGCATAACTGTTTTAATATTGGAAAACGCGTAACTTTTTCAATTTTTATCTAATTGAGCTGAAATTTTTTTCTACGTGCTATATATGAGTAATACTCCATAAAAATGTGAAAAAATGTGCTAATGAAATTTTATTCAACGAGCCTATTAAAGTAGTTATGTGTTAATTAAAGGATGTTCTAAGAAAAAAATAGTTTACTAAAAAAAAAGCGGAGTAGGTACTTAGGTGGCTTTATATCTTACAAATGGTCTTTTAATAACCCTAGCAAATTTATTTGCACAATTATTGTCAGTGTCACAACTAGTACTACCTACTAGTATTTTTACAGTGTCGCTACAATTTCTAAAAGATTAGTAACAAATCAATACCATTTGAAGAATTATAATTGCTTTCCCCACTACAATAACTGGAAGATTCGTCCTTATTTTCGCACTCATTAAAGACATTCATTATTGCTAATGATTTTTTTAAGCGTCTGTAGCAGTTTCCTCAGTCATCATAAAACTATTAATTTTATTTCGATTAGTAAGTTTGGACTCAAAAGCCTCATAATTACATATTCCTCAATATTATCATGACTGACATAGCCCTTTACAACATTTTTAGCAGAATAATTTGTCTTATTGTTGGAAATTAAAAAATTCTCAAATAAAACATCCACATATTCAATTTAAGGTAGGGGTTCCAGAAAATTGTGGCCACAAATTTTGTTTGGAATGTATACTGGAATGGTCCAAAACCGTAAACACATGCCCAGTTGATAGAAAAGAGTATAAGTAAGTAGTAGTCAATAAGCATTATCACAATAATTACTTTATTTATTTATTATTAGCGCAATTACTGCCAGGTCAGGTCTAAATGAAAAAGTATTGAAAACTATCCCGGTGGACACCCCAGTAGCGCAACACTTTGATGAAATAATCGACGGTTTTGACGAGCAAATAATTTGTATTATTTGTGGTTCTGGTCAAAATGAAGATAGACTTTTACTTTGTGATGGTGAGTTATCAAAAAAAAAAAACATTGAGATCTTTGCTATCCTAGATACAAACAAGAATGGAAGCAAATATTTGATTTAGTTGGTTTGCACCTATGGGTCTCTTTTATAGAGTGTAGAAAGTGACAAATTTCACACGAGTGTATGAAAGATGCTTTCACATGCATTTCTACAACCAGAAACCGATTTACACCAATTTTCTCCTATTTTATTTCTTTTCATTTTCAACACGTGCTGAAAGTACTTTCCACCCATGTATTATCAAAAGTGTTTTCCACACGGGTGCTTTTCAGCACGCGTATCGATAGTACTTTCGGCATGTGTGTGATATTTAGCGGTTTCCAAGGAAGGAACCAACTAGCGCGGATTTTGTCGTTTTCGTATGTGGTCCTAAGAAAAGTAAATTGAAACTTTTATTCTATTACTTGATTTTCATTTTATTTATTTGCATCAGTCTAGCGTAGCTTTTTCAGACTGCAGACCATATGATGATGGCCTTTTATACTTTCAATATTATTTGGCAAATTATTGAATAATCTTGTATAGATATTACTTTTTCTGTTAGGGAAAGCCTATGAATAGGATGTTTACGTAAAGTGTTCTATCGGCCTCACTACGTTTAGCCCTCAAACATTTAGACTTGCCACAAAAAGTATCACTTTTACTCCTAATGCAACAATATACTATTTTTTGTCAAACATTTTTTTCTCTGACAGCGTTCCTTTCCAGTTTTTTCAAAAATAAGTTCCGAGTTAATACATTCATATACCCCAGACAAATCGAAACAAATACCAATGACAGGATTTTTGAGTCTCTTATTGAGCTCAGCATTTTTTTCGGAAATTGGAAAAATGTACTTTTAGTGAATCTGCTCAGCATATTATACCGGGTGTCCACGAGATTACTTTCCGGCTGCCATTTTTTTATTTGTTTATCGATATCAACGAAACTTGGTAGGCTTGATATTGTAACGAAACGCCATTTTTGTGCATCCACAATAAGTTTTCCTGACTTCCGGTTTCACCGGAAACTACCGAAACTTTTGAATTTCAAATGGCACACCCTGTATATTTTTTGTTTTTCGGATTCTACAGATCGTTTTACGTCCTAGGGCCGATACTTTTGCTCTCGATTAACGAATTTGATATGTTGTCAAAGTTTTGCATGGGCCAAGGTCTATAAGTATGATGTGGTTAGAGCACATTCTAACCCCTGATTATTTTTAACGGCTGACAAATGAGAGCAAAAGTACCGCCACCTAGCCCTTTTTTAACAACTCTGAACATTCACTTTTAAAAATACCCAATAATCCTAGCCTAGAAACTGTTACTGTGTGCAAAAACAACTTGGTGGCAAATTTCACTTTCTGCCTTTGGGATCCCGTAACAGTTAAAAATTAATTAATTTAATAATTAATTATGGGCAATGTTTAAATCTCGATTTTGTGTATTTTGGAGTAAATCAACAATTGGCTTGGATGTTATAAATTTCTCATTTATTACAAATCCAGTATCAAGAAAATGATTTCTCAAAGAGTTTAATCATATGCGGTGCATCTGCGAACACATGTACTCTTTTTTTGGTTACTGGATTTGTAAACCATGATGTTACTTTGGTAATATTCAGAGAATTCCACAGTCCTCTATTGCTGCCTTCTTAATCACTATTAATAGCATAAACTGAATAGCCAACACTTTCTAATTTTTTTATAATTTTAAATAAAAGATTTTTTGTTAGTTTGCAATTATAATCATAAAATATTGGCTGCTTCCAGTTCCCACATATTCCGCGTGCCATGACAACTTGCACATATTTGCTGGGTCCTAAGGTTGTGTCATTCTTTTTATCGTAATCGTATGAGCTTTGTATTTTCATTTTGTCGAATAGTAGGACTTATGCCTTCTCCATGCCAATTTCATTAGTTAATTTCCCTGTAAATAATTGTATCGATAAATATACAGTGTGTCCACTTAAGTTCGCAGCATATGAAAAACTTTTTTATTATCAACTTTACAAAAAAAAGTTATTCCTCATAAAAGTTTTTGTTTCTTGAAAAAATAATATTGAACTATTAAAACTTGAAATAGCATGTACAGGGTGTTCAGAAAATAGGAAAATATACAGGGTAATTCCTAAGTACAATTCGTAACTTCAGGATTTTATTCCTTACAATATTTTGAGAAAAAAAGTTCCCATAAACATGTGTCCGGATTTGCGTAATTTCTGATCAGTGACTCTCGGGCGCCACTGGCATAATAACGGTAAATCTAATTGAGTCAAAAGATACCTTTGGGTATTACAAACAAATCTGCCAAGTTTATCGAAAATGGGGAAAGGGGTTTTTGAGCTATAAATGAAAAAACGATTTTTTTTTGGAGTTAGCGCTGAATAGTCTTCTGGATCTTGGGTCAAGGGGCATAGAGGGCGAGAATTCAAAATACCTTCAATCTGAATTAAAAAGGTTTCGAATTTTTCAAATGTTAAAGGCATGTTCCCGATAACTTGTAACTCTTTATTCCTTTTTATCAAAGTCCCTCAAAAGCGGGAGAATTTGCAGGAATAAAGTGCCAAGATATGTTCTCGTCCTCTTGTCAGTCAATTTAGTTCCGATATAAGGCGGAATTTCTTTTAAAAACTGATAAACCTTGTTTATTTCCCTATTAGCACCCACATAATTGGTACCAATATCTGAGTATATATTTTTAGGTTTGCCACGTCGAAAGGTAAATCTATTTAAAGTGGCTAAAAAACATTCACTGGTCAAGTCCGAAACAAGCTCGAGATGCACTGCCTTAGTGCTCATGCAAAGAAATAAACAAAAGTAACACTTGTTACTTGTAGCACCTTGCTTGTTATCTTAATATAAAATGGTCCCCCATAATCCGTGCCAACATTTTCGAAAATCCCAATGGTATTTACCCATACTCCTGGTAAATCATCCATGAGATAATAAGTGCTCTTTGGTTTAGCCTTAAAACAATTTAAACATTTGTTCACAGTGTTTCTACACATACTGCGACCAATACCTTTGACGAATTGTGTTCATTTTCTTAAATGTATTTTGTTAAAAAATGAGTGTTAGGTAAAATAATTGGGTTTTTTTTTTTTTTTTTTTACGGATATGCGCACTCGCAAGGAAATGTCCTATCACGCTCGAGAAGCGGCAAGTGCGCGGAAATGTCGGTGTATGTTGGTCTTGAAACGGTTCAGGTTGTAACCTGCAGGGAAAACCGTCGCAGGGAGTTTATTCCACAGCGATGCTGTTCTCCAGAGATATGAATTCTGATATAATGAGGTTCTTGGTGCCTCTAGTTTGACAGTAAATTCATGGTTACCGTCTGTTTGACGGGTTCGCCTGGTAGGCGCTACTCTCGGTGGAATCATACGTGCCAACTCTTCAGAGCATTTTCCGTGATAGTACCTGTAGAAGAGAGATAAATCGCCCACAGATCTGCGATGTTCGAGACCATCCAAGTTACGAGTAAGTGCGGGGTCATTGATCAGCTTGATAGCTCGTTTTTGCACGGTGTTCAAAAGCATCAAGGTATGTTTGGGTGCTGCACTCCATATATGTGAGCAGTACTCCATAGTTGGTCGAATCTGGGCTTTGTAGAGTGTCAGCAATTGGCTTGGTGTGTACAGATGTCTTGTACGAAATAGCACCCCCAGCTTTTGGGACGCCCTTTTAGCAATATCTGCCACGTGATTGTGCCAAGACATGTTGGTCTCTGCAGTAACCCCCAAGATGTTCAACTGACTCTGTAATGTGACAGCACTTCCAGATAGCATGATGTTTGGCTCACCGGTGCTGTTCTTTTTTGAAAACAGAGCTGCTTGGGTTTTCTGTGCGTTGAACTGTACAAGGTTTTTGTTACCCCAGTCCTCTATTATCTCCAGGTCGTTATTTATCTGCGATATTTGAGTTAGTCTAAGATGATGGAATTCACGTGCGGAAAGACCTGTGGGTGGTATGAGTGAGGAGACTACATTGCCATCGTCTGCAAAGCAATAAAGTGGATTTACTGTTTTATCTATGAGGTCATTTATGTAAATCAGAAAAAGAGTTGGCGAAAGGATTGCTCCCTGTGGCACACCAGCATTTATTTGGTAAGAGTTGGAGTTCTGGCCATCCAGTGCAACATAAATGGATCTGTCCTTTAGGTAACTTTCAAACCAAGTGCAAAGTTTCGGCGATAATCCCATTGCTTTGAGCTTGTTGAGCAGATTTTCATGCCAAACTTTGTCGAATGCTTTAGATATATCTAAGGCAATTGTTCTTGTTTCACCCCGCAACTCAATCGCTTTTTGCCATAAGTGAGTGACGTATGTAAGTAAATCGCCAGTTGACCTATATTTTCGAAATCCGTATTGCTTATCGTTGATAATTTTGTACTTTTCCAAGTACTTGGTTAGATGATTGTTCACAACTCTTTCCATTACTTTTGATATCACCGGAAGTAGAGCAATTGGTCTATAGTTTAACGGATCTGTCTTTTTTCCTTTCTTTGGAATGGGTTGTACTGCGGCAGACTTCCATGATGATGGATATACTCCTTGCCTGTAAGACAAATTGAATAATTTTGCGAAAGTTGGGGTGAGTTCGTTGGCGCAATTTTTGAGTACTATTGCGGGAATGCCATCCGGACCCATTGCTTTGTTTGTATCTAGCTTTTTAAGGGATTTTCGTATTTCTCTGTGACAAAAGGGTACCTCTGGCATACTATGGGAAACCTTTTCAATGAACGGTGGAGTTTTTCCGTTTGGCACTGTTAGGTTGGAGTTGGAGGAAAACATTTGGGCTAGCATATTGGCTTTTTCCTCTGATGTTGTGGCTAAGTGATTATTTTTATCTGTAAGTGGTGGTATGGATGACTTGGTGAAGTTAGATCCAACAGCTTTTGCAAGAGACCAAAAGGACCTAGAACTACTTGGACAATTCAGCAACCTGTTTTTTATTCTTTGATTGTATGTTTCTTTAGCGGAGTCAATAGTAATTTTGCAACTATTTCTGGCTTCTATAAATTCTGTGTGGTTTTGAGCGGTTTGTTGTCGTTTCCAAAGGTTATATGCTCTGTGTTTTTTCTGTACAGCCGTTTGACACTGGCTGTTGAACCAAGGTTTTGCATTAGCTCTACGTTTAGTTGTATGTGGGATATATGCATCCATTCCAGATAAGATTACTTGTGTTATTTCATTACAGCAAATAGTGGGATCAGCTGTTTTAAAGCAAACCTCTTGCCATGGAAAATCCAGGTAAAACTGTTTTAGGTCATTCCATTTTACCGATTTATAGTGCCACATTTTACGAGGAAGTGGTTGTTGGCTTGGTGGGATGAGCATTTCGCACTTTGTTATTATAAGTTTATGATCGGACGAACCAAGTGGAGCATCTACTTGAATTGTGTACGAGTCAGGATTTGTGGTTAGGAACAAGTCTAAAAGCGCTGCAAATTCGCCCCTTTCTGAGATACGGGTAGGTTCATCGACAAGCTGCGTTAGACCACAACTTATGGCAAAAGCTTCTGCTTCTCTGCCTTCGTTATCTGTTTTGTTGTGGTGTTTCAGCCAGGGTATATTGTGGACGTTGAAATCGCCTAAAAAGACAATTTCCGCCTGTGGATAGTTTGACTGTATACTATCACAGCTTTCGGATAATATCGCGAAAAAGTCTTGGTAATCGGTGTTACTTGGCGGTCGGTAGAGGCAGCAGATAAACTTGGTCGATGACTTTGAGGTGAATTTTAGCCATATGATATCAAGGTTCGCTGGTTCTAGCTTCTCCTCTCGATGACATGAAAGGTCATTTTTAATGTACACACAGATCCCAAAATTATGTCGAAATCGGTGGTGTAGGTCATAGCCGGGATAAAGATAGTTCACAATAGGTGTTGCAGAACTGATTTTAGTTTCAGTGAGAACAAGGATGTCAGGTCTTTGTTCTTCAAGATGTTGGTGAACTGAATTCATATTTGTACTTATTCCTCTTATATTGCTAAAATCAATTCTGAGTTGAGTTTTTGATCTTCTCTTTATATCTTTGCATGAAGGACCCCCAGGATCACCCGACGCCCGGAGATCCGAGTGGTCGGGTATTTTACCTCCGGAATATTTTGATCCTGGAGGCGCCATCATGCTATCTGTTACTCATTGTTGGAACCGGACTGCCAGCGCAGTAGCGGAACGTGGTGATACCACTTAGCGCTACTCAATTCTGGCATGGTGGTATCTCACCGGTCGACGCCCAATGAGTAAAAAGCGTCTACCACCTATGGGTACTTTACTTCATATAGTTGATTCGCATTTTTCAACCTGCCACCTACACAAATCAGATCATTCCTTAAATCTGGATTTAAGTTTAATGTTTTACTTTTTGCAGGAATAGATTTTCCTATTAATAAATTATTGAATTCAACAGAAAATATTGCCCTTTGAGACTCTCTTATTAAAAATTTTAAGGATCGATCTATTTTTTCAGGTAATGGAGGCCCAGATGTATTATCGTATCTATCTTTATTTTTTATATAACTGTAAAAACCGAAAAGCATATGACAATAAATGCAACATTTCTATTAGATTTGAACAACTGGATAATTTATAAAATAAATTTCTGTTAGTAGGACAATTCGATACACAAGATACTGGTTTTTGTTCCGGAATTTCTTAATTTACCGGGCATTCCAGTGTTCCAATGACAGTTGTCTGTTAAAAGATAATCTGGACCATTAACGCCACGAGATTCTAAATCAGTTGGATTTTCTCCAGACATAAGATAATTCCAATCCTTTTTATTAGTAAGTGATTGAATATCGCTGACCCTATTGGCGACGAAAGTTTTCCAAGATGATGTTCCACCTTGAATTCAACACAAAGTAATATTTGAATCTGACCAATAATAACATTTACTAAATTTGATATGTAAACTATTCAACACCTTATTTGTTAAATTAGCTAAAAGTTGCGCTGCACAAAGCTGCAGTCTGGGAAGGCTTACTTGCTTCAGTGGTGCTACACGGCTTTTAGCACATGAAAGATTAATTATATACTCTCCAGACTGTAACTGGCAACGCAAATATATACAAGCACCATACGCTTTTATAGATGCATCACCATATCCATTCAATTCAATATTAATATGATTGGAATCAATGATATACCGATTTATTTTAAAATGTTTTATTAATAAAATATTTCAAAATTCCTTTCTGGTAATTCTTCGTCCCAGTCTAATTTATATTTCCAGATATTTTGGATAGCTAATTTAGCAATAATTATCACAGGTCCCAATATTCCCAGCGGATCGAATATTTGGGCTACAGCTGATAATATCGACCTCTGTAATTTTTTCTATTTTATTCACTTCCAAATTAATTTTATAATTGAACGAATCACTTTGGGCATCCCAAAATATACCTAAGGTTTTGTTAGGTTCATTCTGGCCAATACTCAAAGTAGCTACCTTTAAATCGTTATTTATTTCAAATTTGTTTAATACATCCTTGTTATTACATAACCATTTACGCAATTCAAAACCAGATTTATTTAAAATATTTGAAATGGTTTTTTGATATACAAAAGATTTTCTTGTGTATCCGCACCTGTAAGCAAATCGTCCATGTAAAAATCTTGCTTTATTATTTTACTGATTAACGAATTATCTTTGTTTTCTTCCCCTATGTGAAATGAACATTTTACGGCCAAATAGGGTGCCGCAGCTGTTCCATACATTACTGTATGTAATTTATAGCATTTTTACTCGTGATCGTTTTCAGCACGCCAAAATACGTTTTGGTATTTTGTCATCTTCATGAACAAGAACTGGTCGATACATTTTACTTATATGTCCTATTTATGAATACGAAATCTGCTTAAAATTTCAAAAATATCCTGTTGCAGAGTAGGGCCTGTAAATTGTACATCATTTAATGACAATGCGCTTGTGGTTTTATAAGAAGCATCAAACACTATCCGAACTCTCGTAGTCAGACTTCTATTTTTCACCCCTGCATGATGTGGTAAATAGTAGCCGTCTTGATCTGCCCCATTGACATCATTAAATTCAGACATATGATTTAGAGGAGAATATTCGGACATAAATTTTACATAATCATTTTTTAAGTCAATATTTTTGTTCAATTTCAATTTCTTTTCTAATGTCTTTACGTCCTAATGTAAAACGATCTGTAGAATCCGAAAAACACAAAATATACAGGGTGTGCCATTTTAAAATCAAAACTTTCGGTCATTTCCGGTGAAACCGGAAGTCGGGAAAACTTGTCATAGATGCATAAAAATGGCGTTTGGTTAGAATACAACCCTACCAATTTTCGTTGATATAGATAGACAAATAAAAAAATGGCAGCCGGAAAGTAATCTCGTTGGCACCTGGTATACATGCTAATTTGTACTATTCATCTGAAGAAGACATTTGTGTCGAAACAACTGAAAGAAAGTTTTGTTAAATATAGTGAAAATCAGTAGTGTCTTTGTTTTTATCACTGTTAGAAAAACTATCACATCACAAACTTGAGTATCTTGTGAAAAAAAATAATTGTTTAATTTAAAAATTATTTAGGATGCGATTTGGGTTATCACTTGTACTGCCTCACGCCGCCTCTCTCTGAAGTACCCAATGATCCTTGGTTCTGCGAAATATGTCGTTCCGCAGATGAACCTTCTCTAGTGGACTTGCTGGAAGATGGAGAGGATGAAGTACCAAGACTTTACAGAATCGCAACTGTTAGGTGAATACATAATTGTTGCTTTTTTTTTGGGATATTGATTTTGAACTTATCCCAGGAAATTAAATAAAAAACTCTTGGGCTGGGTTATTAGTTATAAAATTTTATATTTGTTTTTTAACTTTTAGTCTCATTTAACGCTTTAAAGTGTTGATTATTTTTGTTTATTTTTTTTTTGTAATGAAAGTTTTTTTGTGTGTATATTTAAGATAATTTTCAACCCGACCAGATAAGATTTATATTGGAAAATACAGTATTTGAAAAATATTTTTTTTACATTTTTCTCTTTTGATTTAATAAATATGGATTGCGTAGATTGCATGCAGATTTTCAAAACAAAATACATAAATATTTGCCTTTTGTCTGGTTTGTTACAATTACATATAGGTGAGCGATTTTGGTCTTAAAATGTGGGTTTTCCATGAAGTTTCTTACCAATTAAATAAGAAGCTTGTCAACAATGAGTCGCTCACCTATAGTCAAACGCAGTGTAGTAAGGCCAGTCATCTAATGAAAAAAAAAAAAAAAAACAAGAAGAACCATGTTATTCCTGTGCGCAATTGATACCTGCATTAAGTTTCTATATTGATCTAGTTAGGACATGAATATCACAAGATAGGAATTATTTTATTGGTTTTGTGTTGTCATTGCCTAACTGGAAAAAGAAATTGGCAGTGGTCCCTCATATGCGGCAATGATTCTTCCCACTATAATTTAACAACTAAATGGCTAGTTTTTTATTCCATAAATAGCAAAAATAGAGAAGCAGTTCACACAAGTTTTACGCGAATCGAGATTAGAGAGGAAAAAATCGTGAATACATTTTGAAAAACTGAAATTTTAATGAGGATCTCTTTGGATGTGATTACTAAGAGTTTGATTTCCGGCTGTAATTACTAGTAGTTCTACATCCACTTTTTCTCTCTTAAAGGCCATCAGCTGAACATTTCTAATCTTTTTTGGCCCTTTAAATAATTTTTCAATACATTCAACATCAATCCACCGACCATTCTTTTTTTATGCACCTATTCATTTGCTATCTGTATAATATGCAGACAACACAAGGCAGTTTCCTATGAAACACATAATTATAATAAGATTCTTGATATATTAACACATCTGCCTTACTACGCTGCATTTTACAATAATATATTATTAAAACAAAATTGCACCTTAAAAACAATCAAATCAACGCACAAATAATAACTCGAAACAGTGTTTTTATTTGGTACAGGTGAGATTAGTAACATACAAGAAGTTGCCACGGACAATTAATTTTTTCCTCTCGACAGATTAATACCGAGGACAAGACAATCGGAGCGAGTGAGGAGGCTAGTGCAAAACAACAGAAATCAAAGGCAACATCAAACAGTTAACGAAAATTCTCCTTCAACCTCGAGAGGCCGCGTAAATTCCAGTCGAGTCTCCAGTACCAGTACTAGAAAACCGAAGAAAAAATCAAGAAAAAGGAAAACGGTGACTAGATACACGACAGTTTGGGAGTTAGATCGGAACGGAGAGGCAGTGCCTGTACAGAAAAAAGTCAAATCTAGAAAACGGAAATCAAAAAAGAAGCAGCGACGACCATCTACTGCTCAGAAATCAGTTAAAAATCGTTTGGCGTCTCAATTGGGAATGTGCGCTCCAAGAAATACAAGTCAAATTTTGCCTGACGTTCGACCTTCTGGCAATAGTTCAAATAACATTGGACATAGGCGTCATCAAGCTGGTATCCCGGCTCTTGATTTAGTCGGTAGCGTCAATCGTTTAGACTATTTTTCTCAATCGGAAGACGAAGTTCTACCTAGTGAAGGCATCCATACACTATTAGCCAGAAGAGCACCAAATCCATTAGACATTATGAATTTGAGAAGAGTTGCCAGAAGAAAAGCGGCAGTAGTCGGGGATATTCCTACAGTTTCAAGCTCAACAGATATACTTGATAGTATAATGGATTCACAAGAGAGATTTTTATCAAAAAATTCAATTCTATCAGTTGTCGACTCATCGGGTAAATTACAAATCGACAGCAAAAAGAAAGAACCATCAATTAACAATAACACTCCCAGTAAACCTGATTTTAACTCATACTCCGTAAGAGAAACACCTTGGAATAACGGAAGAAACTCCGGCAGTTATAGACCTTACAACAACAGAAACAACTGGTCAAATAACAGAAACAATTGGCAAAATAACTCTTATCAAGGCAGATACGGGCAATCAAACAATTACAATAATTACAACAATGATGGCAACAATTATACAAACAACTATGGACCAAACAACGTACAAGGACAGGATCAGTTGTACAACGACACGCCACAAGACTACACTCAAAGAACGCTTTCAGAAACAGAAACTGCACAAGAAGAAGAAGAAGAAGAAGAAGAGGAAGAAGAACAAGTTGCAGAAAGCAGTAATGCTGCTGCTGCTGCTGCCGATGACGGAGATGTCGACATTTACGGTGACATTGAAATGGTGTCAACAAGTAAAGTAGAAGATGATTTTCCATTTACATCACCTACAGTAGCCGAAATTCCTAACTTAGTAACTAACACGAACACAGACGACGATAATGATTCAGAATCTGGCATGGTTATCGATACCGATCCAGTTTCATCTACAGTACAAGTCTACAGTCCAGCGCAACCCACGGATAGTCCTGATGAACAAAGCGTTGACGATCCGCAAAGCGTTGCTTTAGAATTTGATCAGCTTACGAGAGAACTTTCGTCAGGTTTCAATGCTCTGCAGGAAATGGAAAAGGAATTTGCTACTGGTTTGAAACAATTTGAACCATTGATGAGTAGCTCAGAACCCACAAGTGAAATTCCAATTACCGATCCAGAAATTACTGACGATATTCCAGTTCCTGATGAGGTGTCAGCTGAAACAATTCCTATGCCTATTGATCAACCGCAACAAAGTAGTTTTACTTTTAGATCTAATCGAGGATCTACTGAGAAAGTTCACGATGACGATGATACATCAAATGATGAATGCCCAAACTTTAGCATATATTCTAAAGAAAGTAAATCAGTAGCTTTACATACTGATACAAATTTAATAACCGAATCGTCTGAGAAACCTGAAGAAATCGATCCTATAACAGATGAATCGGCGCCCTCGAGTCCTCAACCTCAAAAAGTTACTGTCGAAAAAACAGGATCAGATCCAAGACTTATGTTAAGGAGCAGTAGTTGGAATTTGGGAGCTCTATACAGTGACTCAGAAGACGAAAGTGTTGTGAAAAAAACAAGTTCGTTTGCAGTTAACGATATTAAAGACATGACGGAGGATATTTTAAGTGAAGAAGATCAAGAACGTAGTTACACGCCTGTTTTGGACGAACGTAGCGATAAAAAAGAAGGCCTTGAAGGTCTCGACACCGAAATGATATCTGACGACGACCGAAACGATTTTGACGAGGCTCACGAGTTGAAAACGGTCTCTGACGGAGATGCATTGGAGATTAATGCTAAAGAATCTGAGCTTGAATTCACTAGGCCGGAGGATTTTGAGGAAGGAGAAATTATGAATAAAAATAAAGAAAAAGAAAAAATTGTTGATGCTGGTGGTGAATCTCCATCAAAGACTCCCGAAATAAAATCAAAAAAAGATAAAGAAAAGAGTGATAGTAAAAAAGGCGATAAAGACACTAAAAAGAAAAAGAAAGGTAAGAACAAAGAAGGTTCGGAAGCTGATAGCGCAAACAAGGAAAATATGAATAAAGAATCTTTCAAAAAACTAACTAAAAACACTAAAGAAAGAAATTACCGGGATAAAGATAAGAAAAAAGATTCACGTGAACGTTCACGTTCAAAAACACCAGAAATCACAGAAAGCGAGAAAGACAACAAAAAGAAACGAGAAAAACGTAAAGAGTTGGAAAGGTACAATGTCCGTGCTTTGATAGCTGACAAACCAAGACAGCCACCTAAAGATCAGTTTGGGCGTGATCTGAGACGTACACCTTCAAGATCTAGAAGTCGCTCCTACACACCACCTTTACCCCAAACATCACCTTCAAGAAGAAGACGTACACCTTCTCCAGTTCGAGCGCCAAGTCCAGCCACTAAAAGAAAATCTAGATCTCGCACAAAAACACCTCCAAGACGAAGATCCACATCTAAACGACGTTCAAAATCTAGAAGTAAAACTAATAAAAGAAAGGGACGTTCAACGTCAAGATCAGGTGGTCGAAAACGGGATAGATCTAAGACTAAAAAACGAAAAAGGTCCGTCAGTAGAAACAAAAGGAAAAAGTCTAAAGATAAAAGCAAAAAAAGACAAAGACGTAGCACAAGTCGTAGAAGATCGCGTAGTCCACGTGGACGATCAGTTACACCAAGAAGAGACCGCAGAGAATGGACTCCATCTCTATCCAGATCTGTCACTCCAGATGTGCGTCATAATATGTCACCCTCATGGACACCACCGCCTGAAGAAGATGCAGACACATTGAGAAATCAAAATGTTACAGTAATACTTAACAATGATGCCACGAGAAAGAGAAAAGAAAAACGAAATAGGGACAGAAGGAGGCGAAAAGATGAACCACCTACGTTAAAAAGACGACGAAGAGAACGAGAACGTACTCCACCACCTTCAAAAGAAGTGTTTGCTTCGGGCGATAATATTTTAGTGAGCGTTAGCTTTAACAATGAAAATGAAACTAGGGATGTTAGTACACGAGACAACAGAAAACGGAAAGAAGGCGAGCAAAAGAAAACCAGGGAAAGACGGAGTAAAAATAGGAAAGATCTGTCTGGTGTCAAACCTGTGGCAATAATCGATTTGGAACGTTCCCCATTCCAAGAAATCGCTTCATCGCCAAAAGACGTTATAATATTGAGTGACAGCGACAATACCCAACCAGAAGCCAGAAACATCCAAAGCAACACATGTGATTCTTCACAACAAGTAGCCAGTCCAGAAGCAACACCGGATTATGCTATGGGTGGTCCGAAAACACCGCCCGAACCCAGTGTCAAATTCGCCTTGCTATCAAAACCACCCCAATTACGTGCAATAAACAATCCGTTACACGATCCTCTGGAAACTATTGAAGAAGTGGCAGATGAATTAAATAGTTCGCATAAAGGCCCCAATACACCTCTGGAAGATCCGCCCAACTCGGCTCCAAGTTCCCCAGATGCCTACGATCCCTTCGAACCTACAAAGAGCCGATCGGCAACTCCCGAAGTTGAAGTCGTGTGTCAAGGTGAAGTTGGAGATAATCAGAATCAAGAAGTTTCGAATAGAGTTAGTTTGGATTTGGATAAATCTGGTGGTCAAACGCCGGATATAATCAAGTCTTCAACACCTCCTATGCCAGATATTCAACCAGCTGATTCACAGAGTAGTGTCCAGGAGATAACAGAGTCGGAATCGCCTGTAGGACTTCCTGCAATTCAAACTCAAGTTTCAATAAGTAAGCCTGTAGGGCAAACTATTCCTTTCAGTTCAATACAAACTACCCTTGCAACTTCAACTCCGGTTTCGAGTATAATACCAACGTCAAGAATAAATATTTTGAGTTCCATTATTACACCATCGATAATACCTACTAGAATTGTTCAGCCCAATCAAGTAAAGTCGAGTCCAGTGAAGATATTACCTACAAAAGCCGCAATTAAGTCGACACCCATTAAACCCATACAATCGAAACCTCTGATTAGCAGTAAAAAGCCCAATAAACAACCAAATGGTAATAGTAGCTTGGACGATATTAATTTGGAGTTTGATTCGCCTTATTCTCCTGGATCGAGTGACTATGAGGATTTGTTTGAGCCTCCCATTGAACCAGCCAAACCGAAAACACTTTCAAAAACCAAACGCTCTGCGGTTAAGAAGAATCAGTCCACCTTTGACGTCTTATTTGGTTCTCCGACTAATAAAAAGGGCATGACTGCCAATAAAAGGTCACCGGTTAAGAAAGGTGCGAAAAAAGGCTCGAAGCTTGTAGGGGTTAAAATTGACGAGGATAGTTTGAAGATTTTGGAGGATATGCCCAATTCGGCAGTAGAAATGCAGGTAAAAGATAAGGTCAGTATTAAGAATTTTGTATGGCACACACTATTTCCTCTTTTCCAACTGCTAACATAAATAATGGCTGTGTTACTCACTATTTTGTTGTCAAGCTGCATTATTTGTAGTTCTATTGGCGACAAAATTTATTAAGTCAGTGATGAATCTAGAAACTTCATTTGAATTGGGATAGTTTACATATTATTTTGTCGATTATAAGCTCTTAAAGTGCCTTATTATTCCTTAAAATTCATCTTGGTTCTTATACGTTTTGAATAAAATAACAGATTCTAAAATATTTTATATTTTACAGTTCCTTAAGAAACTAAATAGACAAGAACGAGTGGTGGAAGAAGTAAAATTGGTACTCAAACCGTATTACAATAAGAAAAAAATTACCAAGGACGAGTACAAAGATATTATGAGACGAGCCGTACCTAAGGTAAAAAGAAAAATTGGCTCAGCATTAAATTCTATTATCATCGTATTTTTTTCAGATTTGTCACAACAAAAACGGTGAAATCAATCCCTTGAAAATCCGAAGTTTAACTGAAGCCTACGTTAAAAAACTAAAGCACAACAAAAAGGTTACTTCGTCCAGCTCGTTACCTCAAAAGGTAATTTAGGATTTTAGTGCATGTATACTTACACATTTTAAGGATAAAATTTTAAAGAAAAATAATTGTATATAATTTAGTAGTACTGACTTGAATAAAATGAAATACATCAGTAGTATAATTTTAATTATTTATGTATGCATTGTAATTATTTGATAATTATTGATGAATATACTTGTGTATATTTCATATGAGTTTTATTTTACCTTTTATGCTGATGTGTGAAATGAAGTCATACTGAAAATAATAAATATACATACAGGGTGATTAAAATTCGATGCTCTCCATTGGGATGTCAGAAACGGTAAGATTTTTTATTTTTTTTGGAGCCCTTTTTAAGCACTGACTTATCATACCCATCGATAAATTATAATTTTACAGAAAAATATCGTATCTCAAGTACTTAAATCCACAAAGTATATACTCTGGTCATAAGTCTCTTTTGTCTGACACGTTTACTATATAGGTCCGTAAATAATTCAGATAAGGCCATCCGTTTTTGTTTGTGATACTTTTCAACTGTAATTTGACAGTTTTCTATTTAAGAAACGAATTAGAATTATAAAAACGCAAAAACTATCTATCTAAATAGGAATTTCTTATGCTAGTGCGACTTTCAAGAACTCGATAATCATAATGTAATTGGTAGCGCAGGAATACTTGCTCCAATTGAATCTCGATAAAAAAGTCCAAAATAGTCAAATCTGGGACCTTAACCAAAACATTAATCTAGGAAATTGCAAAGCGAGAGGCGGTGCTCCATCATGTTGAAGAAACCATTAACTGAAATATTGGATTTTTCCTAGATATTGTTGTAATTCCATTGGCTGAGTTAATCGACACTTGGTACCAACCAAGTATACCGATATGTTCCGCACAGGCCACTCTTTAAAATCCCATAAGGAAATATACGTATCGTCAGGCAGGTATGATTGACACGGCCTGGTACGCTAAGGTGTGCGTCAAACATATACAGGGTGACAATTTGAAAAGTAGCAATCGGGAATATCTCTTAGACAAAAAATACTATGAGGAAGATCTCAAATACGTATCGGAGGAATGGAGGGGGAACCAAAATGAGGCACTTTTTGATTCACCCCGCCTCGCACCTGTTAGGGGGGAGCTACCCTAACTTATTTTTTTTTTTTTCAAATATGAACCTACCTTGTGTTGCACGTTGCACATCGTTGGAAAGCTCGTTGCTTTCCTTTTACAGTCTTATGGCAAAATCTCAAATCGTACGAATGATTTTTCTAAAATGAGAAACTACCCCGTGTGATACCTCTTTGAAAGGTTTTTTATTCCTCTTTAGAGTCGTGACTATTTCATTTCAGCTACAATATAGAACATTGATCACTTAACTCTTCATCTGCAAAACACACAAACAATAGTCTACGGCCGAATGACAAATAAAAATAGATGAGAAAAGAAAGGAAAGGAACAATAGCCTATTTACATTACCCTGGTCCCTTTTTTTCTTACTTCACTGATGACTCATCAATTAGGTATAATAATATTGAAATAACAAATCCTTCCATCTATATAACTTACTGAAATGCACAAAACACCAATTTCAGATTGTTTCGAAAATGTGATGAAAAACCTTTTGAGAATGATCATAATTCGAGTGAGAAAAATTGCCAAAACTACTTTAGTGCAAAACAATTATCATTTTTTTATGTAGGTGCCCATTGTATACTTATTATGTATATGCATCAGATAATATGTATTGGTATTACTATGTAGATATATGTATGAGTAGGTATGTATAACTTTTCAATTGATCTACACCCACAAAATATACATCCAATTCAGCGACGTCAAATGGACGCTTCATAGACGTCTTAATACAGGGTATTTTTTCTGATTGGGTCAAATTGGGTTTTACATGGTAACTTTTGAACCTGTTGGTTCATTTCTTGGTTAAATAAACTTCCACTACGTGACGTCCCAAACCAATGACATCAAAACACATTGTCCCAAACAAGTTAAATTTTCATTGCAACCTCTTTCCGACGTCGAACTTTGGTTAATCGACGTAAATCTATTTAAAATCGACGCCATAACGACTAACCTTTGCTGCTTGGGATGTTTGTTGGAATAGGAGAAAAGACCTGCTGGAAAACAATTTAAATGTTTGAATTGATTTGGATCAGACGACTTTTTCGCAGATCTGGTTTTGTATTAAAATTGTATTCGCTAACATCCAATCCTATCCTATCTTGAGCCTAGTTTATTCATCTTGATTCTTGAGATAAACTTGCTGGTAACTATCTGCAAGATAAATTTACAGATCTATAATCCTCTTGGTCACTGGATAATTGGTTGACCAATGAGATTATAAATTGCGTTTTTATCCGTCAGATTGCATTACCTGACAATTTTGTAATGACTCGGGAAAATAGACCCGTAATTTACAATGTCTTTACTGTAAAAATTAAATGTAATCAAATAATCAAAAACTGAATTTTCTGTATTTCAAATCAGTATCTATAAATTGAAAGATGATGAAACAAATTAGCATTAACCCAAACTAATTAAAATATTTATATCGGTACGTTCAAATTTTAAACAAGCCATCAGTGACCAAGCACGTGTCATCATTTGAACTCGTAAATAAAAACCAGTGATATGCCAACTCACTGATGTGAAAAATCCCTACTCCAAAGAAAAATTTCCCTAGATCAGGCAAAAATGGCTCATAAATTCCTCCCCCGTTTCCCCCAAGGATCAAGGATGATACACACTACTACTACAGGATGGTCTATCCTCATAAGGCCTGTGTGTAACCCCCCCTTCCCCCCTTCGCCGAACAACCAGTTGTGACGTAAGCAGCATGGCGTTTCTCGCCTTGACGTATGCTGTTTAAACTGCTGACGACTTAGTTATGACGTCGGCAATGGTTGGAAACCAATATGGCAGCGATTACCAAAAACGAGGCCAATAAGCACTCCTTAGTCCTTAGAGAGTGTATTCTCCTTGGGTTTCCCCTTCTTCTAATGCCTCATTCTCACTTGCGCGAAATTCGCTCTTTTTGCGCGAAATTTACTCTTTTTTTGACATTGCTTCGATAGGTTGACGTTTTATGCGTGTATTGAACGTCAAATTTTCAAAGCTGTCAAAAAAGAGCGAATTTCGCGCAAGTGAGAATTAAGCTTAATATGGCAATTCGCGATGCTTGCGTGGGTAAAATGGTCGCAATTCAATTTTAATGACCTTCCGGACAGCTGAATCTGACAGTGTTGACATTCTGGTTTTGTGGTTATTGTCATTCTAACATTAGGCGCTTTCTTTTATCCACCATTATTAGTCATTGCGTCCATTTCGATTTTACCATAGACAAAGCTAGACTGGTCATCAATGGATCAGCCGTTGTAAAAAAGAATGCAATAAATGTAATTGAATAGTAAATACCACAGCAGAAATCTAACAAAAAATATCCCAAGATTGGCCTGGTTTCTGGAGAATCTCCCCTTAATCCCTATTAACTGTAAATATCCCTGGATCTAGGGATGAATTTCCTAGGTTGGCATCACTGATAAAAACCCGGAAAAGATCAATTACAGGGTCAAGCACCTAATTAAATTGGACCCAAAATGACAGAAAGTTCGAACAGATTGCATCATCCATCTAGGTCGACCAATAGAATTGAATTATAGATGGTCAAACGACGGCCTATATTGTCGATTTTGGTAGGTAATTAATAATATTTTGGGGGGAATCGAAAAATATTGTCAACTCATAAACGTACACAAGCCCACGCATTACATAAATTAAGTAAATTTCCAAAGGAGGTCACCCCGGACTATTAAAAACAGACCGATTTTGCTTATGCCAGCAATAATTTCAATATAAATTCACGCACTGCGGCAATGCAAGGAAAGGTTGGTCTGGACTGCTTTATGCCTGATAAGGTACGAGCCTAAAGACCTGCCTTCTTAGCTGGGTACGACTAGGTATAGTCGAGACTGTGAAACTTTTGGATGAAGGTCTCGTCTAGCAGCCGTGTCACAGCGTCCCCAAGTTTAGACCTACGAGAACTATGCCCTTAGGGGGCCCGTTCTTTTAGTGCATCTTGGGTTACATTAAACATTCTTCCATTTCGAGTTGACAATCGAAAACATGGTCCACCAGGGACGAACATGTGCGGTGTTAGGATTTTGGTAAATCTCCTTGAACTATAAGGTGTAATTAAGGTTTAGTAATAAAACAAATTAAATATTCGTGGTGGTATTCCTTCCCCCCATATCCTCTCTTTTCAGATAAACCCTTAGTGGACGCAGCCAAGCGAAGTAAAAGTGGTGGCACCGCTGACCACAACCAACCTAAGCGTGACAATATAAATACAGGGATTTTGGAAGATCAGTTCAGTTTAAGTTCAGTCTTCAGCCTGCAGTCCAGTTTTGAGTTAAAAGTCTACAGTACCTAATGAGTCAGTCCGGATAAAATTCGCGAAGAGTTTTTTTTATTTTTGCCTCGGGAAAACGCGTTTGATTAAATCTTCGAAAAAGTAACGGAAAATTGTGAAAGAAAGAACATTTAAATTCGTTCAACATTATGTGCGTAGAGATTTTTGGAGTAAATTAATAACGTAATTTTACGAGTGAAAAGTTAAATGTAAGTACTCTAGTGACTAGTGAAACTTTTTGACTTTATAAATGATGATTGACTATGAAGTGAATTAACTTTGGAACTTCATTGCATAAATAAAAACTTGAGTGATTTGACTGTAAAAACTTTATTGCATAACTTTAATTGCCTTCGATTATAATGACATTTTAATTAATTTCGCAAATTAAGAAAGGAAAATTATAATGCTCTTAACAATATTTAATTTCGAGTAGGAATTATTAAAGAATGTTGAATTGGATTGTCCAATTGAAGTTTAAAGGCTATAGTGACGAACTAATAAGAATTTAAATAATTATGTATGTTGGCTAAACATTCGAAAATAGTAGGTAATTGTTCTGTTTAAATTGATCCTTAGTAAAAGAAGGAACCATACAATGTAATGGGAAGTTTTTGAAAAGAAATTTGTTGTTCATGAAGTTGTTGACCTTATGTGCTAAAATTTTGAATTAGGGTATTTTTCATTTAGAAATTATTGTAAGGTTTTTATAAAAATATAGTTGATAATACATATGTACTTAATCCAGTGAGTAGGATTATGACTTTAATAATTATTTTGCATAAGCTGTCAGTAAATGACAGGAGTTTTAAGAATTTATAGATATAGGTGAAGTTGTTTAAAAAAGTAAAAGTAAAAGATATTTGCTTTATTTTAATTTTGGTTTTAAGTAGGTATAATAAAATATAATTTAGTAAACCTCAATAGTTTGTTTCTCTCTTTTGCAAATAGACCCCCTCCACAATTTTATAGGTAGCTGCTCAAGGAAATAAACACCATCAATATACCGCTCGCCACTTACCATCTAACTAATTAAATAGAGTACTTGGGCGCGTTTTGCTACAATTTATTAGAAAGTGAATAAACGGGCTCTTATATGTATTAAGAGGCTCTTGAAGTGCCGAGAATAGACAAAAGTCCTGCAAAATTGGTTTTTGTAACTTGTGAAGTTTCCAGGATATTGTGCTTCAAAGTTGAAATTTGGTCGACATTTTGTCCAAAACTTTAAACTCGATTTTCTCGAAAACCTTAAACGATAGACAGTTCAGTAAAGTAGAGTACTACTACTGCTACTCAAAGATAGTCAAAATTACTAGTTTCAAAATGTGCTTACTTTTAAACACCGATATCTTGAAAACTCATCGTACAATCTAAGATTTTGTTATAGGATTATAAAGGGAAAGCAACGAACTATCCAACAATGTACAACACAAGATAGGTTCTTATTTGAAAAAAATACGTTAGGGTAGCTAGCCCCTAAGGCAGGAGGCGGAGTGACTCAAAAAGTGCTTCAATTTGGTTCTCCCTCCAATCCCCCGATCTTCCTGATAGTATTTTTTGATAAACGATATATTCCCGATGAATGGATGAATGTTTTCCAAGAAAATTGATCGGCAACAAAGGAGCGGTACCCCGACCGGCGAGAAGCCCAGACTATTTTGGAATTTTTTCTCTGTGGAATAATTGAAAACAAAGTGTACCCTAATAACTTTAACAATCTGGAGCACTTGAAAGCCAGCATAAGAAATACATTCCGCTCCATAACCCGGAGAGATATCGAAACAGCTACCAACAAAATAAGAAGAGTCAACCGCTGTTTGCAGCAAAACGGTGATCTTTATGAACATTTAGAATGGGCAGTTTTTTTTTTCATTTGAATTTTTCTATTTAATTAGGTAATTTTTTACATTATTATAATTATAGGTCTAACTATATCAAAATCAAAAACGATGTTAACGCCACAAAACAGTACTGTGTAGACGAGAGACTTGTGAAAATTATAATTGAAGTGGTGCTTTAATGTGTGAAATGGGCTCCAAAAAATAATAGTTCATTATATACCTAGGGACTAAAGTGTTTCTTTTTATCCCGAGACAAAAAGTTTATAGCTCAACCGAACACTCCTGAGGTGTATACACTATCTTATGTACTTTGGAGGGATTCGAAGTCCCCTTTTAATCCCTGTTTTATTTAATCCCCGGGAAATAAAGTAAAACTCAATCTTGGGTATTTAAGGACCAACTTTACTCCCTTAAACATGGATTAAAAGGGTGCTTTAAATCCCTAAAGGTGCCTTAAGTGCCTAAAATAAGAATACAGGTCTGTATTGAAATAAAAAAAAATAATGATGGTCAGCCAGAGACGGAAAGTCGCATTTCAAATCTAGCAACACTACTACGTAGAGGGGAAAAAGTTGCTACAATGAGGTGAAATTTATTTTGAAATATCTGTTCAAATGAGTCCATGAAAAAATAAAAACGATTTTGTAACATTTCGCCTTTTTCTTATATCTCTGGAAGTCTTCGGAACGTTTTAAATTTCGAAGCGCGAAGAAATTGCGTCACTTTGCCTTCATATCATTTAACCGACCTCGTATCTCTTACAGTTTCCGAGATACCAATGGAGAGCATCGAATTTGAATCACCCTGTATATGTAAATTTATTTTACAAACTAAGTATTGCAGAAATCTTCCAAATTCTAGGATTCTCGTGTAGTTCTACCAGATATTTTCTTAACCATTTTTTTTCATTGTTTTTGATGCTCTCAATAATTTAAATTCTGTTCAGATAAATTTCAAGGCGATTTTTATTTTTAATGAAAAACAATAAACATTTATTGATACAAACATTATTCTTTAGTTTCTTATTTTATCCCTGCTACGACTTGCTCATCTCATTATTCTTTTAAATGTATTCCTTTGACTTTCTAAGCACTTCGTTTAACTCCGCTTACTACGGTATTGGCTTTTTTTATATCAGTGTGGGTCTTGAAGCCAAAAGAAATATACTTTATTGTCCAGATACACAAGTGACAAAACATACTAAACTTACACAAACTAGACATTGAAATTTGAGAAAAAAAAATTAAAAACAATTATACCAACAATTCGAACAAATTAGAAAATGAATAAATTAATACAACAGTGCGCTGTTAACTTAGAAATTCTCTGTGTAAAATTCCTCCAAGGCACGATATGGACGATGATTAAATACTTACTGTCTTTTCATAATTGAAGGGAACTTCTAAGATATGATTATAAAAATTTGTCATAAGCTGAAAAAAAATGTGTACTTTGTCAGTCATAAGGCAGATATCTATCTTCATCATCAGCTTTTGGAGGTGTTCTAGGGATTCATTGATTTGCCGCACAAGCTTCAACATACATCTTTATTTTGTTCTATATAAAATTGTTTATTGAATGTTCCTTGTAGGTCGATTTAAAGCGTTTTTCCCTTACTATTGACTATGAACGGCACTTCTTTACGAGCGGGAATTTGAATCTACCCACCACACATTTTTCATTTATCTATTTAAATAAATCTCAGATTTAATCAAAATAATTATTTTATAGGAATACTTTAAAAAAACAATTTATTTTACCCTAACATGGCTTTTTATTTAATCGTTATCACAATACAAGAGATTCACCCTCTCAAACTATATTATACAATAACTATTTTTTTTTGGTTTTTGTCATGGGACAAATGCATCTAGCATCTAGCAAATTAACCTAAATAACTCGGAAAAATAGTATTTTTGTTTGAAATGGAAGTTAAAATAATTAGTTTGCCTTAGTGATGGCGAAGCCAACTCTGTTATTACCGGCATCAAATTCTGTATAATATTTTCCAATGAACACATCTCCCAAAATCCATAGAGGACCATTAGGTGGTGGAATGTCTATTCCCATAAATCCTGACAGGCAGATTGTTTTACCCATACTACTTACCTAAAAAAATTTAGATTTACTTATATGTATTATATTTTGAAAAAAAAACTTACCCTTAAAACATAATCCTTGCCTTCCAAAGTGAAAGTGTTACCACCAAGAACAAAATCAATAGTTGGTAATTTCGGAATAAGTTCACAAGCGACGGTATATTCGCCTCCAATAATGGGCGTAGCACCAATGGCTTCGTTAATACCTTTGATGTCTTCCGTTGGACCAGCGATCAAACTAGTGCCTGAAAAAATAACATTAAATACCAGTTTTAGTAATATTGTATAAATGTAATTTACCAGTGTCTGCAATGGCTTCACATCCACCTTTGCAAAAAGCTTTTCCGCCAATTTTAACGCTGTCCATTTGGAATTGCCAATAAGCTTCACGATCGACTGGCAAATAAGTGAAAGTTCCAGTGTAGTAATTTGGATCGGAACCGCCAAAAATAATTTCTCCTCCTTGTTTAGCATCTGGATCTCTGATTTACCGAAAAATAATGATATTAGTTTAATTTAGTAATACTTTTTAAGCTATATTTTTCAATTAGGCACAAATGTATTTATAGCCAGAGAATTTCTTCACAAGAAAGGTTTTGATCGAAACACATCAGTGGCTTTTTTTTGACAAAGGTAGGGGTATTTTCAAATATCGCGAATGGAACAAATTTTATTTTCTATCAAATGTTTGCCAAGAATGCGTTATTCGGATGAAGAAGTAGCACGAGTATGTATTAAAATTTAGAGGCGATCAAATCTTTTCAACGCTGTTAAAAAAAATACCTAAAAAAATAAAGTTCTATACCTGTTGAGATAGAAACTGAATACAGGTTGAGACACTAGCCCTTGATCAACCATATTATAGAAAACTGGTTTCACTCCATCAACAGATATGCGGGAATAAGCCAAACCAAGAATACCATCGAATTTGGCTGCAACGAATGCTAAGCCAGGTTCGCTCATGGCTTCCCCAAAAGTTTGGTCTTTGACTGGGGTACCACCAATCTAAATAAAAATTTAAGTTTGATTTTTGTTGTGTTTTCTTATTGAAATTACTACTTACTGTAACAATATCGGTGGATAGAAATCCTGAAAGGCTACCAGATCCGTAAGTAATAGAGAAATCAGTTCCATTTTTCTTGTAGGTAGATGATTGAGTAGAGTCATACTTGTTGTGGAGCACTATAAAAAAAATAATGATTAAAATTCACCTTTTTTAAATGATATCAAATCAATAGTAAACCACAAGAATAAATACCTAAGGATACTGGTTTCAGTTTAAGTGGTACTTTTTTGAAATGTTCTAATAATTTATGGTTCAGCTTGGACATAAATATCCATCTTGAGATTACTGTTTTAGCCAATGGACATAAATAACCAAGAACAGCTTAAATGAGTATGATATTTGGGAGTATATTTCATTAACTCTTACATGCGAAGAGAATAAAAATTGCCAACTTGAAAATCAAACAATGACAATTGTTAACATTACCAGTACATTACATGACAACTTAAACTTTACAAAAACATCTACTATCTAGATTGTACCATTGGATAAAAGAGAATAGGTTCCATAATACCAAACAATCCATCTATTTGTAATACCAATTTACTTATTTTTTAAATTTCTAATAATGCCTTACTTTCCACATGATTGATCTTCAATAATTGTTTATATGTATTGGGATGTTTTATCATTAAAACCGTTATTAACATTATTTCAAGTGTAAAGGTCCAAGAAATTATTATTTATTTTCATTTATATCAGACAGATAGGTCAGGTCAATGATATTGTATTCAAATACAAGTAAATAATAACCAATTATGAAGAAATTTATGTTGATTATTCTATACTTACAGCAGGCAATGTTGGTGTAGTGACATTGTTTGGATGGTACCCAAAGATTCGACGAGCCCGTGTCGAAAACAACTGTAAACTTTTGTGGAGGCGATCCAATGGAAATCGCACCGAAATATTGAGCCTGAAAATAAAAATTTATTGCATTTTGAAAATATACTACTTGATACTTTGATCTTGTTCAACAAAATGGTCGAATTAGTGTACCTATAGTGCTCAAAGGTTCTTTTTTTGATATCGTTGCAAAAGTAACAAATTTAAGTTCTCAACAAAAAAAAAAAAACATTTTCTAGTTTGCATAAACAATTTCACCTTTTTACATAATTAAGAATACGCACAAACAATTTTAGTCAATACATCATGATAGTGCAAAACTTGAATTTGTTTCCAAAATATGGTTCATTAATAACTTGTTGTTGACTTGGTTATTGATAACTAAGAAAAGACTCTGACTGTGAGTCATGTGTTAAAATTAAAATATTAGCTATAATATCACATACTAACAATGAAAAAATTTAAGAAAGATCCTATACACTCTTGAAGGTCAAAAGAAACACTCAGCAACGAATAATAAGATTAGAAAAACAGAAAAATCATCCGAATTTAAATTGTTTATATTATTGTTATTTTCCTGAGCTACCTGATAAACAAACTAAAAAATAAAAAAATATTTATTGTTAACAATAGGTGCCTTGGTACCTAAATAAATCTTGCGGCACTTGAGGACAGAAGAAGGCTTTTTGATTTGTCAAGATGTCTGGTTATAATCATAGAATAAGGTTTGTTATAATTAGACATTCCAACGACCTGTCAAAAAGTGTGTTGTGGCAGAAGTTCATTATCCTGTATATGAGAGTATGTAATTTAAAGCTTTTTAAAGTGCATTTTGTGGTTGTTTTGTGAATGAACTTTGTTTATTTTTTTATTTTATTGACTTCATTAGTGTTTCTTCCAATTGAAAATGCCACAAACCGGTCTTGAAGTTGATTGGGGAAGTAGTTTCAACAAGGTAACAAGGATGATGTCAGTCTTTTTTCATTGCCCTTTGTTTTAAAATTTTCCAATTAAAACGTGAAAATTTTTCACTACCACTGTTCCTGCATCTGAAATAAAGCCATTTTCGAAATATTCGTAAGAATCTAAGCTTTTGTAGGTCTTCATTTGCTCATTAATGTGAACTGTGGATCAAAATGTTATCTGGACATTTTTTTAAACTAACCGTTCGCCCAGATCCCGATTTTCCTGCAATCAAGTCTTTAAATATTCACTCTGCATCTCAAAAAGTATATTATAACAAAGTAAAGTGTAATTAGCTTGAAAATATTCCAAATAAACTCAAGATAAACAAACAAACGTCAAATTTTCCACGGTCGCCATATTGAAAAATCACCTGGTTTGGAGAGCCTAATTTGATACCCCACCTGTATGTAACCTGTACAAGCCTGTAACCTTTACCTTTACAGGTAGATGATAGGTGTAAATACAAAAGTTGGGCAGTTATAGCTAATTTTTAGAATCCATTATCAGAAACAAAAATGTATTGTCAGAAGTTTGAAATTTTGCGTACTTTCAATAATTTGGTTGTCTTCAACATATTTGGCTCTAAAAAATTTAAAAATACTTACATCTAGATAATTGGAAAGAGGTTCAGGAATAGGTCCTCCGTAAGCATTATATTTCAGGCGAACTTGCTGAACGTGAGTGCCAACTTCCCTTAGAGTGTTTCTTGGCGTTGTTCCCTTGATAAGAGGTATCCTATAAAAAACATTATATACATATTATCCACTCAGTAATCTGAAATTAAAATTTACATTAAAAAAGTTCAATAGTTTTCAAAAATGTATTTTTAGTTTTTTCCTCGCTTTTTTTTTCTGTTGTGTGCGCATGCCAAACACTGGAAGTGTTGTCAGCGAAAAGTCGTATACTTCCCCCGACCCTGAAAGAGGCTAGATCATAAACCAAGAACAGAAGGGGGCCAAGGAGAGAGACTTGAGGCACACCGCAGTTGTTGCTCATTTTATGTGCCTCTATATGAAACTACCTGCTGACGATCACTTAAGTACGACGGAAACCAATTTAGAGTCACACCTCTAAACCATAAACTTGAAACTTACAGCACAGCACAAAATGATCGATAAAGCCTTTGAAAAGTCACAAAACACCGCTGCTGGAAGGTGATTCTCATTTGTACTCAAATAGATATCTTCCAGAAGCCAAATTGATTATCGGCGAGGGACCTGTGTAGATTAAGGAATGAAAGATCTCTAATTTTGACCAGTTTCTCAATCAGCTTATCAAGTGAAGTAAAATAGGACGGAAATGTGCTGGAGAGCCTGAATCTCCCCCTTTATGAAGAGGTACAATCACTGCATGCTCAAGGATATTAGGAAATATACCCTTGTCAAAGGAATCATTCATTGCATCACGCGCAAAAATCACTATTGTTCAGATGAAGAATGGTTTAATGGATATATCATCATAGCCGGAAGCATTTTTGTTTTTGAAGGTTATAAGGGTTTCTTTGACCTCAGGAACATCGAATGGTGCCAGGAAGAAGAAATGAATGAGATCAACAATTACAGACCAATAAGCTTAATCAATGTAATTGCAAAGATTTTTGAACAAATCCTATGTACCAAACTAACAAGCACTCTAAAGTCAAAAATCTCTAAATTTCAGCATGGTTTTGTGACTGATAGAACTACTGTCTCAAACCTTTGTGTGCTGTCTGAATGTGCTTCTGAGGCAATAAGAAATAAAAAACAATTGGATGTCATTTTTACTGACTGTGAGAAAATCTTCGACATGGGCTTCTCCTAGAAAATATACGAGGGGGAATATCATACTCTACCTTTCTGTTCTTGAGATCATATCTGTTGAATTGAAATACTTCAAGCAAGTATATACCTACCTCAGGAGTACCACAGGGAAGCACCTTGGGCCCACTGTTGTTTACTTTGTTTATCAACCCCCTTCCTGGCTGCCTTATTGAATCCTCAGGAATGCTTTTTGCTGATGATTTCAAATTTTTTAGGGTAATATCTTCCCCTCAGGATTGCCTCCTGCTCCAGAAGGATATTGACAACGTTGATTATTGGTTTAGGGAGAATGAAATATCATTAAACGTGAAAAAGTGCTCAGTCATGAGTTTCTCATGGAAAAGCAACATTATTGGGCATGACTACAAAATTAATGGGGTCAATTTAAAATGAAAGAGTGAAATCAAGGATTTGGGAGTTATCTTTCGGAGCCATGTGAGGTTCAATTCCCATTTCATTGGAATGAACAATAGGGCATATAAATCTTTGGGATTCATAATTAGAAATGGCAAGTCTTTTAAGTTGGGAACGATTGTTAGGCTTTATTATGTTCTGGTGAGACCACATCTAGAATATGCTGCTCAAATATAGATGCCCACAGCCCACACACATGTGGACCATATAGAAAAAGTTCAAAAGAGGTTCTTAAGATACCTTTATGTCAGGAAAAATAACACGTATCCTTATATGGTCTCGTATAAAAGCATGCTTTGGGCTTTGGGTTTGAAAGTTGAAAGTTTGCAGAGTAGAAGAGATAAACAGGCTGTGATATTTGTATTCAACCTTATTAATTATGTAAAATATAAAGACTGTGATTTAATTAAATATGTACACTGTACACCTAAATGTACCTAAAATTAACTTGAGAAATCTAAACTATGAGTTATTTAATATAGATCTAGTCAGTACATCACCCATAAATACAATGTTAACAATATGCAACAGAATACTCATGAGAGTCAACATAGATAATGTCTGCCCAGCGACTCTGTGTCTACGGGGCAACGGTAAGGGGAATGCAGTTGTAAAAAAAAATGGCTGATTTCATTCATAAAATACCCAGCTGCGTGCGGAACTTTTTGGAAATGTTATCGTATTGCAACTCGTTCACGAAAATCGACAATGACCAAACCGCCGCCACTGGATATTTCAATATAAATCGATATTCCAAGATGGGAGGATAAAATGACAAGAGCCCTGGCCAATAGCGAGACGTAAGGTGACGTTAGCCCACTGATAATTGCATGGTTGCCCGTGGCAATGGCAATCCTGCCAAAAACTCCACCAATCAGGTTCATCCAGGCCGGATCCTTGCCAAACTGTCAAAAGCTGATGGATTCTTTAGGAAATGTTAATTTTTTACAATAGACAAAATTGAAGAAATCAGTTATTAAAATAAACATAGATCTAACAACCACGTTGAAATATTTAGCGTTTTATTGTTATCTACATTTTGTTATTAAAAAATGGATTTTCAAATGAACTATACTTCATGCCTAGTATTCTCGCTTTTTTTATAATTAAACGTGGCAACATCGCACATTTACGTCCGAATTCCTTTCGTAGACTCAGATCCGCTGGGCAAACAATATATGTATTTAATACAAATACTAAAGAGTTACAGAAGATCTAAGTCAATCTTACTGTTTGTGTTTGTGAATGTATGCTTTTTTGGCTTATGTTAGGTTTAGTCTAGTGTAGTAATTTGTTAGTTGTAGTTATTCTCTACCAACCATTACTTGTAGCTACCACATCGTGGTGTTTGTAATGTAAACAATAAACAATAAATAAATAAATAATAATGAGATATTTTTGTCTGTGAAATAGTCTAAGGAATTGACTACAGAGTCAAGCTGGGAAGAAAGCGCTCCAGCAAGAGAAAATATTCAGATTGTTAGGAGACAAGTTGGGTTAGTTGGAAATTTGTTTGCTAAAGTAAAGTTCTTTTGCAACTTTGATTACGTTTCTATAAATAATTCGATACTTTGTATACAGGGAGGAAAGAAATACCTACACTACTTTCTGAGCTAGTGCAGAATTAAATGTTTTGTTCAAGGCATTGTGAAAAGAATCTAGTGGGTTTCCGCACGCGGACAGTCTCCTCACAGAAATTGTGAAACTTAATTTTATTTTTATTTATTTTAAGTGTACAACTAAAGAACAAAAATATCTAAATGGCCCACATTTCATTTGCAGAACTTAAAACTTAAGGCAAAAACAAACTAAAATAACAAAGCCAAGAAAAAGTCAGGAAGCTAGGTATAGCTTTTTTAACTGAAATCAGAGTTGTATTAAAAAGGTCCACATGGAAGAAATGATTAATATAGTTTGTGAGTACTTAGTCTAGTCATCAGAAAGTTTTGCCCATAATTTGTTTTTTCTCCAAACGTCAAAAAAACGTCACTTTGTTAACCCCTGTCAAGATGTCAGAAATTTGATTTCTATGCTGCTAGGCAAATCCAGCGGGTTAACACCTGTCGAGGTGGTAGAAATTTAATTTCTATGCTGCTAGGCAACCGCAGCGGCAGTAGAAGTACTTTTAGTGCCGCTGGAGCGGCAGCAAAAGTACTTTTAGTGCCGCTCGTACTTTTACTGCCGCTTAACCATCCACTTGTCCCCGGCCTTACCCCATTCGTTTGGAGAAAAAATAGCGTGTTGCATACGGAGTAGAAGCACTTTTTTGTGCTTCAGCAGTATTGCTTCAGCACAAAAAAGTAAAGCTTCTACTCCTAATATAACAATATACTATTTTCTCCGAATGACAGTAAAAGCGGCCTTTTAATGACACTTGACAGGATCAAAAGTTGTATTTTTACTGCCTAGGCAGTAAAAGTGGACTTTTACTGCCTAGGCATTAAAAGTGACAGTTTCACAACGTTCCAGGTAATAATTTCACTCAATTTGGTATTTGAAATTGATCATGACAATGACAATTGTCAAAATAATTTAATTATTTGGATAATAATAATGAATGAAATAAATATAAAAAAGGTGTCCATGTCTGAATTTGAACATTCGGAGAAAAAATTATATATTTACATGGCAGAAAAGCAGATTTAATGCCTCGGCTGGTTCTTGTACTTTTCTGCCTAGTAAAACAAATAACTATTGTGGACTGGTTGGAAAACAGTTGCTTTTGTCTATTTATTTTATTCTGCCTGGAATGAGGAAATGGATTTCTTGTAAAAGTTCAGATGAACAAGTAATACCACATATCAGCTTATACAAAAAAAAAACAATTGTCGAGTGTTGTAGTCTACATTCTGATAATGAAGTTCACAAAAAATACAACCCCGTCAAGAGGAAAACGGAGATGACTGTTAATAAATTGACAACAGAATCAGACATTACTGAATGATCAGAAAAGTGAAGCATTCAAAATCTTACAAGAGACATTCTCAAAATTGGAACACACATAATCTAGCTTCTATTCCAACACAGCAGAAAAACGTACTTTACTGTTGCAATTCTGCGCAAAACCTGCATTGGGTTTGAAGTTATGTTTTTTTCAGATAAAAATTCCTAAAAGAAGCATTACGACATAAGTTCATTCATATTAAAGGCGACAAGAAGCAATGAAGTGCATCAACAAACTGGATGATATCATATGGGCTGGCCCAATGATGGTAAAACCATATTAGGTATAAGATTAATTAAACACTTATGTAAAAATAAATTTAATAATGAACAAAAAATAGGGACAAAAATAGTCAAAAATTAGTAAGAATTCAGCAATAGAGGTAAGGTTGAAACAGGGATTGAAATGATTAAATGTCCAGGCCTCTGTTGATAATGATAACTGGAATTATTACACTATAAAGGAATTTTTTAATTCTGGAATCAGTAAAAAAAAAAGAAAAACCTAAACATGCTAGTGCAAAATGCAGATAAATACCGACTCCAACACATGAAAAATAGGAGAACAATGGAAGCACTTTACTATTTTAAACTAACCATAAATTAATTCCTATGAAAATAATTTAGTCAGCATCAGCAATTATGTAAAACAGATATTTTACAGTATTTTATTTTAAATATAGATTATCATTTACCTGACAAGTTCGCAGTTGGCAGCTGCAACAAGAAAGCCGAGGATTAAAGCAACCCCAAACTTCGCCATGATTTTTGCTGTTTATTTGAGCTAACAGCCAATAATTATGGCACTCACAACCACACAATAGCAATAGCAAATGGATAATGAAATCAAATAATTCTAGTTGGAATGGTTTCTTATCAATGACCACAGTAAAATTAACCACATTAATTGAAATGATTTGATTACTCAGCAAAACACAAACAAAAAACATCAAACATCTGTCAGAATATCACTATGGCGTTTTCATTTTTTTCGTTGCTTGAGGAGTGAATAGTTGTATTCCTTTCACACCTACGAGGAGTTCCGGAACAGCTCCGGGGCGTTACGTGTTTAAGGGCGGGTATTATAAAACTGCTTTGACAGTTAACTTAAAGTTAACTTTTTGAACATGTAATTTCAGAAGTTAACTTTAAGTTAACTCTCAAAGTAGTTTTATAATACCCGCCCTAAATCCTTTCGAAAAGTCATGCACCACGCATCTGTTCCATTCAAATCGCGCACTGAGTAGTGTATTTGCATCCTTTAATCGACCTGTAGAAGAAAACGACAGAGATAGAAAAAAATGCACTAGTTCCGTACTAGATCCAATGAACTATCAAGGATGATACACACTACTAAGGATGGCTTATCCTCATAAGGCCTGTGTGTAACAAATCCCCCCCTACCCCGCCTAGCCAAAAAATCAGTTGTGACGTAAACATCATGGCGTTTTTCGTCTTGACGTAGGCTGTTTGCACCACAGGTTATGTTATGATCTGGCTGCTGGCTGGAAATTATGGAACTAGTTTCTAGTATAATTAAAGTCTAAATAAATTATAAAATTATATCAGATACATATAATCATGACTTTTAATCATTACTTTTGTGTTCCTCAATGCAAGTCTTGGGCTAAAAAAAAAAGCTGACAAAGGATTGAGTTTCTACATATTTCCCCTTGAAACAGGCCCACGGGTTTATTTGGAAACGAAAATGGAAAAAGAACTGTCGAGAAGAAAAGCCTTCTGGATTTTAAAACTTCGTATTGGCAAACCAGTCACCAAATTCATGAAAGTGTATTCTCTGCATCTCAATTAAGCAAGAATTTTGTGTTAAGGTAAACAAGCATAATGGATAGTTTTGTGCCCTAGCTTCATTTTAGGCCTGCTTCTAGGCATTTATCAAGTACTATCTATTTTTAAAATGTTTTGTTTGAAAATATTGACTGTTTTTATTATTTACAGGTGAGAGTACAGGTCTTAGGGCGGGTATTATAAAACTGCTTTGACAAATGACAGTTAACTTAAAGTTAACTTTTTGAATTACATGTAATTCCAGAAGTTAACTTTAAGTTAACTCTCAAAGTAGTTTTATAATACCCACCCTTAGAGGTACAGGTAGAGGTCGGATATTGAAGTTGTACCATCCCAGAATTTGCCCTCTTCTATAGTGATCCATAAACCGAGCCAAAAGATAGATTCCATGGGTGCTGAAAAACTTGCCGAAAGAAAAAGAAATCAAGATTCTAGTGAGACTGATACAAGTAATGAATGTAGTTATACTTTTAATCAATTATTAAACTCTTCTCAGATAGGCATCCAAATGGCCGAGCAAACAGCAGAACGTGTAAAGTGTTTATTAAATCCTAATTACCAGTATTATATTATAGGTAGTTCGAGTAAAAATCAGATTTGTGGTCAAGTTATTTGACTTTGTTAATTTAATTTTCACCTATTTATAAATAAAAATAAAGAGTTATTTATAAAATGTTTATTTATTTATTACACATACAAGTTATTCAAATACAGACATTATAAGGGAGATCCATACCAGCCTTGAGACCCTTTTGGCAATGTCCTATTGTAGAAAGTTTACAAAAATATAAGAAAAAGATCCGGTTAGGCTGTTGTATAGATATAATCATTTCGGGTCAGATAAACGAAATAGATTATAATGAATTTTGGCCTGCATCATCACGAGCAGCATTATGGGTGAAAATTATTACCCAGTGTGAAACTTTCGAGAACAGTGAATAAATAAGTCGATATTGCATTTGCAGCACATTTTTCTTCCTCGGCTGCTACAGTTTTGACCACCACATCGTTTTTTTTACGTTCAGGAAAAGTGTTTCAATAATGATGCAGTCCATAATACCTTATATCATTATTGACTCAAAAATCACTTGCTGCAGCCCGAAGCATATTCTCCTGTAGCGCAAGGTGGTACTTTATATTTCCTCGGGTATGTCTGAAAATAAAAATAAAGTTAAAATTGTATGATTTTCCAAAAAACTGTTAATTCTACTCTACCTGTGATATATTTCCCACTCGAATAAACAATTTCTGCACTAGCACAAAAGTTGCCTAGTAGATAAGTCAAAACCACATTCCTCATCTGCTGAATCTTAGTCAGTGAGCTCTTTGCTTTCTGTGTGGGCTCGATATATTATGCCATCAACATTTTCATTATCATAAGCAGTATTCAAAGCTTCCTGATGGCTAATTCCACAAACAAAATGTAAGTACAGCTAAAAATGTTAGCTTCTGCCCAGGCCCATATGCCATATGGGACAGTAATATTTACAAGAATATAATACATAAACAAACAATTTATGCTCGAATAGGAATATGTTATAATAATATGAGAAAACCCTAAAAACAATTAAATAGTATAGAATAAATTATCTTATAGTTATTATACTTACATAAAGAAATGTAAACAAAACGCCGCGTAATTCTCCTAGGGCTCCATTGAATCATACATGCTGAAAACGTGTAAATAGGCGGAATGACGAAAGCTAGCCAGATATCGCGCTACTGGTTCCATCATAGCATAGGGTACCTTTACCCGCTATAATGGTTAATCAAAATCAAAATAAAATATTTTTCATGACAAATTATAAATTTATAAAACCGCTGGCGCAAACAGCTGGCGACTTTGTTATGACGTCAGCAGTGGTTGGAAACAGTTGAAAACCAATATGGCGGCAATTACCCAAAAAGGAGCCGATAAGCACTCCTTAGTAAGTTTATTCTCCTTGAGTAAAATTGACCACAAATGATTTGATTACTCAGCAAAACACAAACAAAAAACATCAAACATCTGTCAGAATATCACTATGGCGTTTTCATTTTTTTCGTTGCTTGAGGAGTGAATAGTTGTATTCCTTTCACACCTACGAGGAGTTCCGGAATAGCTCCGGGGCGTTACGTGTTTAAGGGCGGGTATTATAAAACTGCTTTGACAGTTAACTTAAAGTTAACTTTTTGAACATGTAATTTCAGAAGTTAACTTTAAGTTAACTCTCAAAGTAGTTTTATAATACCCGCCCTAAATCCTTTCGAAAAGTCATGCACCACGCATCCGTTCCATTCAAATCGCGCACTGAGTAGTGTATTTGCATCCTTTAATCGACCTGTAGAAGAAAACGACAGAGATAGAAAAAAATGCACTAGTTCCGTACTAGATCCAATGAACTATAACCAAAAACTGGAATGCGAACACATATTGACGAACGTGAAGCCTAGTGCCGCTGCTGCGGAGGGGATACCTGTTTTTGTCGCACTCATTATGTTAAATGGCGGAAATTGCTTCCAACACGTATTCCAATTGATGAAACCTGTCTGTGAACCTGTGAAGGTATAGTCTGACAAGTGGTAACTTGGTAGAAACGAAAGGGGGAAGAAAACTGGGGCGTTACCTAAAAATATTCACTGACACCACAACTGACACCGTCTGATGACAGCCATGTCTTTGAGTTCAGTGGCACCGAAAACACCAAGGAAATAAACCAAGAAAATTATTAGAAAAAAGATTCTCTAGTTTCGCCAATAACCACGCCACTGCGTGCTGTCGTTCAGGCTCTAACCAATAGAATCGTGTTTCTGAATAATCACGCCTCTCCACTTCCATCATTTCGCAATGTTGCCTGATTTTTTCCTATTTCAAAATATTACATATGGCCATAGCAAAAAAAAAATATGTCACCAACTTGTTTATTATTTTGTTTCTAATTTCCGTCAAGTTTGACAAAGCAGCAAATTCTTTTGCAGTTCGCCGTTTCGCTAGCCAGACAATAAATATGACAAAACTCTCCAAAACGTCATATGTCAGCGAGCAACAGAAAAAACAACATTCCCCTTATGGCATCTATGATCTGTCTTTCATGGCTACATTTTTTTGGCAGATATGGCAATGTGTGCGCATTCCAGTTTTTGACTATAGTTCATTGACTAGATCTACCAAACGGAAACGCTATTATATTTAAACTCTTTAAAGGATACCAACTATTGAGAAATATTTATTGACTCTGGAGTGAAACTTTGAGCTATTTTGGCAAATCGAGCATCATCGGCTTACTCCGTTCTTGCTCTGAAAGAGGAACAGTTTCCCAATAGACCGATCTCCTCTGGACTGCGCGGACTCACGAGCCGAAGGCGAGTGCGAGAATCACATGAGTGGAAAAAGGTGCTTTACGCACGTATTGCATACAAAAATGTTCCTACTACCAATCAAATATGGGTAAAAAAAATAGATTTAGACAAAAACTTTACGCACTAGTGCGTAAACTATTTTCACTTTACGTACTAGTGCGTGAAGTAATTTACCAGAAAAATAGCAATTTGACAGGTCGACATCTGTCATTGACATTACTTTACGCACTAGTGTGTGAAGTGAACTACTTTACGCACTAGTGCATGAAAAGAAATTTTACGTCTTTTGAATAGTGCGTGAAGTAAGTACTTTACGCACGGTAGTAGAAAAAATAAATTGAATTCGCAATAATTTGCTAAACCTACCTACCAACCTACCTATTGGCATTTACATATGGAAAAGGTTTAAAAGGGTGTAGTGTACAGTAGTCTCAAGGATGATACACACTACTACTACAGGATAGCCGTAGTGGGATGGCCTATCTTCATAAGGCCTGTGTGTAACAAATCCCCCCTCTCCTAAACAGGCCAAATTACCAGCTGTGACGTAGGCAGCATGTTATCTCTCGCCTTGACGTAGGCTGTTTGAACAGCTGACGACTTAGTGATGATGTCGGAAAGGGTAACACACCAATATGGCGGCGATTACCAAAAACAAGACCGATAAGCACTTCTTTATTAGAGTGTGTATTCTCCTTGGGTTATGCTCCGGTCGAACTTCGGCTCTTTCCGACGCTCCCGCCCGAAGGATCCTGAAAGCGACTTCGGGTGGGTAGAACAAATGAACATAGTCTAGGAGCTAGCCCATGTCACGTGTGCAGTTATATGTCCCCTAAGTTTTCGAGCGGGGCTTCATTAAAAATCTATTGGACCTTAAAAAAACATTGGTCACATATGATCCAGATGGTCGTTTGGTCGCAATCAAGAATCGTAAACTCTACAGGATTGCTCAATCGGCTAAATTTGTTCACAAGTGTTGTGACGTCACGTGCATTCCTGAGTTTCAAGATGGCCGCCAATACAGATGATAGTTGAGTTTGTGCTGAAAATTATTTTATCGTAAATTCGAATTTTATCAAGTGTTATAAGTGTAATTTAAAGTTTCATTTAATGTTTGTAAGCATAAAATACTGATGGCTAAAAAAATCGCGGAAGCCCCAAATATTTTCTGGTTTTAGTGGTTTTGTAATACTGGATTTGTTGCATCAGGACATAGCTTTCTTTTATTCATGTGTATTGCTTAGTTTTCTACTGTTAGTATTTCCTAGTCAAGTACATATCTGTATTTTTTTTTTTTTTTGTTAATCAAATAACTACTTAGTTGTAACTTTCCTTTGCATGATTTTACTAGAAATTAGTGTTTTCGAAGAGTAAATAAATGAATAAAATAAATTCCTTTACTGGCGCGTTTACTATATGTAACCGCATGGAAAATATGGGAAACTTGCAGTGTTTTTCTGGATTCTGATTAGGTATCACCATTTGGCTCTGTGAGATAAGCTTACTTTGCATAATAAATGAGAAGTAGGTAGAGACAGTAAAAAATAAAACACAATATTGCAACCACGTGTCGCTTATATTTTGATAATAAAATGAAAAAAATATATCTGCATTGAGTTTGGCCTTTTTTGTACAAAAAACTATCCACTCATTTTGAGCAGTTTTGGATACAAGATGTTTTCCTTTAAAAAAGCAATGAAATTTACCTTTTTGACTGCTCGCTTTTTGATCAAAATAGTT